CTTCCACTGGTAGCTAGGCTCGTAGCTAGACCAATTGGCACTGATGGCATCATCAAGTCCAGCACTGCTGCCTGACAAGATTTGCTTCGCTAGATAGCTGTGGTGAATGTAGGAGGCTCGTTGCCAACGACTATGAAGATGGCAGACAAACGCATCCACAGATCCAAGTAATATTTGGACTTCTTGGATAGCGATGCAGCACTGGAAGAAAGTCGAGACGGCGGAGCTTTCGGCGAAGATGTCGTGCTGAAATTGCTCGTCCACGTTGAAGGTGTCTGCACAAATCAACACAACTTCGAGTGCCCGGCGTTGGAAATCCAGTTTGTCATCGTCGTCGTCAGAGTCCTGAGCCTTACCCCTCAGGCTCTGGCTCCAAAAAAACGTTGTACGCCGTGCTTGAGAGAGTATTCTGAAGCATCTTTTCTGAACACTCACTGATGAAGCAAGGCTTAGAATACGTCGAGTGATGGCTGTGAAAGTGGCAAAGGCAGATGAGGACTGCCAATTCTCCTCATAACGAGTGATAGCTTCGGCCAATCCGTCAAGTAGAGTATTCGCAAATCTTTCGTCTTGACAAATTGCATGCGCTCTTCTGTACTCCGAATCACCACCCGGTCCTGCTTGAGAGATGCATTGAAGAATGACCAGGGCAGTCTCCCGCTTCTTCAAATCAACCGAAGGAGCGAAAAGTTGCAACAGAATGTTTTCCCATTGCAAATTATATCCCAAAGGAATTGAAGCTAGGGCCTTGTACTCCTCGAGTGACATGTCATGAGGACACTCGTGAAGTGTGGCGATGACGGTGTTGGGCGTTGGGCCACTTGGGCATGTTGATGGCCGGAAAAGAAACTTTTGTAACGTCGTCGACGCCGCGGGTAATTGGTAAGTGCATTCCTTGGGGATGATATCAGATCCTCCAAATGATTCCATGAAGCAATGCCTGCGATGATCGTAGTAGGCGTAATGTAGTCCATTGCTCAGACAGACCTGATCTTCGGTGGCAGTTGCTACATGCACCGTCTTCCGGTGGGTTGCCATGTGCGGCTTGGCCTCTGAAAGCAAGCTGATGAAGTGCGGCGTGAATTGTCCTCGAAAGAACTGGCAGAGACCATTGTAGTCTTTCAAGGAGTAAGAAGACTCTCGTATCTGACTACCCATTCGCGGCGTAACTTTCAGAACCTCAAACAGAAAGAACACGGTAGCCTCCCGCCATTCTCCGAATGATTCTGGTACTAAAAGCTCGAATACGACTGATTCTGCATCGAGCTCTCGTGATGGCAGCGGCCATTCATGAATATCGATTTGCAAGCTGTTGGCCTGATTGTGGTACGAACAGCGGGCGCAGCCACCGCTGTGGCTTCTGTAGTACCTCCCCGTTCTCCGGTTGTACCCATCATGATACTCACAATTGCTGGTACGATATTTGCCCATGAGATCTGCGTACTTCTTTTTCTTTCTGTTTAGTTCTTCCACTTTCTTTTCCCTGTCACGTTGCGCTCTTGCCTCGATCTCCTCTTTCAGGCACTGGTGTTCCCTAGACTGCTGAAAATGACGAACAGGGAAACAATGTGGAGAGCCGTAGGTGTTGTAGATGCTAGGAGCGGATGCTGCAGTCTTGCAACTGCGGTTTCGATCGAGTAGATACTTTTCTGCGTTGTGAAGTCTCTTTATCTGGCTTTTGAGCGGAAGAAGCAAATTCTGTAGAACGCCGTTGGGAATTTCGGGGTTGTAGTCTCTCAGCATCGGGAACAGATGTACAGCAGTTTTGTCGCAAGCAACCCATAGTTCAAGAATTGTCAGCAGCATGACGGAAAGCGACTCGGGGTTTCCAGCGTAAAGGCCGCTGGCGGTAGCGTGATACCCCTCAATGACGCTTCGTATCTTGGTACATGATCCATTGTAGCCTTGGCTGGACTCGCCTATCAGCCAAGCCTGTAGATGACATTCAACCCATGTTTCAAACACAACTAGATGCAAATGCAAATGTTCCCTGTCTGGTTGTAGCACGGCCGAAGGGAAGATTTCCGGGTCATACTTGATCAAAGTCCACGACGGAATAAACTCGAAACCTTCCGAGTGACATCTCCGACTGTCGATAGAAGCTAGGAAACTGTCAAGAGCTGGCAGATGCAGGTGTGAGTCTTCATCGAAGTTCAAGGTTTTGAGTTCGGCCAGTTCTCTGCCGAAACCAGGCGAGGTCCGTTGTTGAATGCGATTCCAACGATCGGCGAGAACTTGGTTAGCTCGCAACATTGTTCGATGTACGAGGTCAACGATAGAGTGGATCCGGCCATTTGAGATTTTGCCCATGCGTCTGGATATTTTCGAGATCATGACGAGTATAAGATCTGATGGGAGTTCCATGTCCGTGTCGATGCTGTGACGAAGCACTTTGGCCATGAAAAAGGCCATAAATGTCTTGTAAAGACTGCAACTTGTATCGTCGATATTGCGATCGAATGCTAGCTGCAGACTGACTCTAATCAGCAGCCAAGTAGGGGAACGACGCCAAGGAAGAAGGGCATCACTCCAGTTGACTTCTTCCCGGGTATTCTTCCAGGTTCTTGTGCCGTCAAGAGGTTTCCCTATAGCTTGAAAAGTCGAGATGAAGAGCTCGGTGACCATTTTCGGACTTGTGGTATCGCGGTGCTCTTGATGGAGCTGCCCAGCTTTCTTAGCTAATGGTTGGGTTCCTGGGGCAGGCTGTGAGCTCATTGTCGACAAAGCGTCAGCGAGTGTCTCTTGACAGCCCGGCTGGCTGAACTCCTCTAGTTGTATGGAGATTCCGGTCCCGGGAAAAGTCCGCCGAAGACGACCCAAGGTTGACATGACTGCCTGATTGGTTGGAGACAGCTCGAACACCTCCACGTGTATTGCGTCGTGAGCCCTGGTGATGAGTACACCCGCATTCTGAGCCCGGACGTTGAGCGAGATGATTTCTCCTTCGACAATGTTAGCTTTGTGGGCTTATCGCAAACAGGTATTACTAAAGGTCATACCATCCGCCAGATTCTGCAAACTTTTGAGTAGGCCGTCCTGCTCGATTGCAAGCGTCTTCCCCAGAGGTTTATGAATGCGTATCATGGCATCCATCAGACCAATGGCAATCCTTACGGAGGCCTTTTGACTATTGGAAACATGTTCAATAAACTCGGTGGCCGAATCTTTGACAACTCGAAGCAAAGCACTCTCGTTCTCCGGGCTGAAGTCATCGGCGTGAGGCAACTGGGGCGGCAGGAAAACATGCTGAATGATGAAATGAAGATCAGTTTGGTTGGCCATTTTACGTTGGTTGAAGAGGAATGAAGTAATTGGCAAGAACGTTTTGACAAAGTCGTACAGTATGAATTGAAAGATGATAGTTATGGGGGGCTTTAAATAGCTCAAGAGTAGTGTCCAGGGACGTCAAATATAACAATTCCCTGGGTCCCCATTCGAATCAACCATCCTCAGAAGTTCATCAGCCACCTCCGACATGACAGGGTTCCCTGGCATTGTCGTCGAATGGCCCTCTGCCTGGAAATTCTCTCTCAGGAGATGTACATCACAAGACGAGGCAGAGCTTGGGAAATAAGCTCGTAGCTAAGCCAAACATGTTCCGGTGTGCTGAGATGAGTAGGTCTCAGTCTTTCACAGACTGTAATGTAATATCAGGCGAAGAACGATTCCCGGCAGGCTCGAATGGCGGTCTTGAGCAAACCCACCCTATCCAATCTGATAAGGTTGTTTGAAACATGCAGAACTCAACGCGGGAGGCCGTCTTGTGCAACCGTCAATCAGGTAACGTATGCGGGGTCAATTGGTCGCACAGCAAAGTTAGTCCAAAACTAGTGCTCCTCATCCACATGCCCGGCGGAGCCATCTAGGTATCTGCCGAAAGATGCGAAGTCCGAGACACGCCGAATATCATTGTGGGCCTCAACTATGTTACTCGGAAACACGTGGGATGTCCGCATCTCGCGTCATCATTTTCTTGAAGCCGGCGACATTGACCGCGGAACTACAGCTTCAGTCGGCCTCCTACTTCTCCTGAAACACAATTTTGCTTTTCTCAAGATAAGGTACCCCAACGCGTACATCTTCATGTTGTATCGTAGATCGTTCTCGCAGGCACCATCGAGCCTTGGTCCATGGCTCTGCGCGTCTAGCGAGGGATTCAGGGAGAGCCCGGTCGTCTTTCTCTCAGCATTTTGAGTAGATACCATCAGGTCACCTGACCTCAGTGGTATCGAATCACTTCGTGACAAAAATGGGATCAGATCGTCTGGTGGTGGTTGATATGGCAGCGAAGATGATGATGGACACACGAATGAAATGAGAGACCAGGTATGAGGCGGGGGCGGGCAGGTGATATTGCTGAAGTTGCAAATTTCAGAAAGAAAGAGGATAGGAGTTCGAGACTCGTGTTAATGCTGGCGGGTTCGACTGGCATGTTGTCCATGCCAAACGCCTTATAGCTTTCTTCACGATGGTCGCAATTGTCTGCTATCTTGTTCACAAGGCCTATTATTAACTTCTTTCGGTCTCGTACAACAGTTCGCCTATGGCACGAGTGGTGTCGGTGTTGAGCTTGACTTCCTGAAAGAAAGCAACTTGAATGCGCCTTCTTTTTCCTTCATTTCACAAATTCCCTTTCGCCTTCTGCTGCCTTTCACCTTCCGTGTTCTCTTACCTTTCCTCCCCCCTTCCCTCACCTTCTCTCACCTTCCCTAGTTTCCTCTCACCTCTCTTCTCATCTTTCCTCGCTTTATCCACGCCTGACCCTTAAGTCCTTTTCTTTCCATTCCATCAAAACTTTCAACTCCCACTACACCCAACTCGCCGTCGGTGTAATTCTCGCGGCTTTTGCATCGTTCGCAATATTTCAGCAGTAGTAGCTTGTCACCAGCCAGTCGATACTCGACACGACAATTCAACGCCCTCTTCACAATTTTAAGCACCTTATCCTCTTATCTTGGAGTTACGACGCTTTCCGCGGAACCCCACACGACAATCCCATCATGTCGCCAGATACTCCCTCATCCTCCACCCCTCGTACAACTTCCGAGAACGCCATTCATTCCCTATATCCGATCATCTCCCTGTCCGATGAACGATCCAAGGTCGGGTGGTCATTACAATGCTATGATGATCTGACAGCGACGGAGAAAAGTATCCCCGACATCTGGATGGAGAGACACCACGAGTGTTCTCGTTTGTGGAGGCTTAATACGGCGGAAGAGAAAGAGGCTGCAAGAGCCAAGATTTGGGAGTTGGCGTTCACAAACTGGGACACCAATACACGAGTTCCTCAACCCGCTCGTGCTGTTGCTAGGAAGACCAAGGATAGTATAGTCAAGATTGGAGTCTTGACAGAAGACGCCAAGCCTTCCAAGAAGCTTCATGGGGACGATACCAGTATTGCCGCCTCTGATCCACCTCCTCGTCGGCCGCGCTCTCGTGGAGATGACGTCTTTCTGAAGGCCGAAGTCGATTAGGAGCTCGAGTCTCTGAGATTCAGGGCTTGCGACGCAAGAGGTTCAGACCTCTCCTTTGGCACCAAATATGAGCAGACGCTTGGCTATCCGATATTCACTGCTAAGGAAGTTTGCATTGCTAGCTGGGACCGTGATGAACTCCGCCGGTTGGGTCGGGCCAATACTCAACTCATGATCTACTGGACAAGAAACGCGCTGCTCCTCTCCCTCAAAGACGGGTTGAGAAACCGTGGGAACACGTACCAAACAACATTGACGATCGACGAGACGCCACCCAACCTTGAAAAGTTGACTCGCGTAAAGCTTGTCAGCGATGTTTGGGCAAAAACCATCGATGCTTGGCTTCTATCGCCACTGTCTGGGACACTATGAACACCTGATCTCCGTAAGTTTACAATCTTGGCCTCCTGTCTACCTCATCTAAACCACTGACTGACGTTGTCACAGGTTCCTACCCTTTTGATCACCGGTGCCGCCTGTGCGCAGCAAGGATGAAGACCGTTGATCCACTTAGGCATTGCTGTTGCAAATGAAAGATCATTCGCCTTCTGCTGTTGTCACACCAAGAGAATTCCGGTTCTCTTCCAATAAGTTGACATTCGGGTTGTAAATTACAGTTGTGGCGGAGGCTCGGTAGGGTCCGAAGCCTTCTCTTGAGACAGAACCGATCCTCATGTCGCTTTTCGTATGGATCCAATCCGTGAAAACAATATCTTTCATCGACATGAAGACGCTGTTGATACCGAAGCTTAGTTCATTGTGGTGGCATCATCTACCTACTCTTGGCCTCGCCGCCTCGATCGTGATTGGGCCTATAAATGACACTCGCTGAGGCCTCCTTTTTCAAGATAGCCTCCTTAATTAGGAAGAAATCCGGCGGTTGATTTATCGCAATCACTTTGACAAACCACTAGCTGAGAAATTTTGCGAAACATTCTGCACGCCGGTAGTCGTGAGGAGCATTATCAATATCGAATCCTTCCGCATCCTTCGGGGACCTCCCATGTGGGGCGCCGGGCCGGATCCGGTGGTCTCGGATTTACAGGGCCATTTCTTTTGTCGTAATCCCGAACCGGGTCGGCTTTGGCCTGCACCCGATTTCGAAACTTCGCTGGATTCTGCCCGCTGTCGGACCAAGCCAAGACGTTGGCCCGATCGCCCGCCCAGAGCATTTTTTGTGGCTTCAGGCATCGCTGATTATTGCGCCGCCATGATGTTCCTGAAGGCGGGGGCTGTGTTTTCGTAGACACCAACATAGCTTACGAAAAAGCACTAATCAGAAAGACCGCGACACGTGTACTGTGCTGTGTAGAGATTGGGGGAGCCTGATGATTATATAGATTCTATCTTCCTGAGTTCGTGAGGTATGTCCGATTTATTCCAACATCAGAGAACTGGGTTTCTGAATACTTCGGGGTTTTATTTCTACCTTCCGCATTGTTTGAGTCACCACGTCTGATCCCGACCCTATCACTACATCCGCAATTTATGATGTTGAATCGCAACATGAACCAGCTTTTCCCACCCAAACCCACTTTCACAGAAGAGAATCTGCCAAACCAAGCAGGCAGAGTGCGTATTGCTTTATCAACTACCCTGACATGTAGCAACGAAATTAAGAAGACACAGGTATTCGTCATCACTGGCGGAGCATCTGGCATTGGACTGGAACTCTGCAAGATTCTTTATGCAGCCAACGCGACGATATACATCGCGACCCGCTCAAGTGTGAAGATAGCCGAAGCAATCAAGACCATCAAAGCCCTTCAACCATTGAGCAATGGCAAGCTCGAGCCGCTCGTTCTCGATCTCGCAGATCTGACGACAGTCAAACCAGCCGTCGAATCCTTCCTGGCAAAAGAGTCGAGGTTAGATGTCCTGATACACAACGCCGGCGTCATGATGCCGCCTCAGGGTAGCACAAGCGCTCAAGGTCATGAGCTCCAGATTGGCACCAACGCCCTCGGCCCGTATCTTCTCACGCGATGTCTGGAGGAGAGATTACGGGCTACGGCTCGACTAGAAGGAATCCCAAAAGGGAGCGTAAGAGTGGTCTGGGTCGCGAGTATGATTTCGCTTGGGGCACCTAAGGGTGGTCTGATCTGGGATGACACCAAGGGCTCGCCCAAGCTCTCTGGGGATTCTATGAGCGATTACATGCAAGGGAAAGTCGGCTGCGTCTTTCTTGCCGATGAGTTTGCGAAGCGAGTGAAGGATGATGGCATCGTCTCTGTGGTAAGCCCGGTTTCCCCGCTTCGTCACATACAACGGATGCTGACTTGAGGGACAGAGTGTGAACCCCGGACTAGTCAAAACAGAGTTGCAGAGGCACGCTCCAGCAGCAATGAGCGTCATCATGGTATGTCCAAAGTCCTTGGCATGGTGATTCCCGCCATAAAGCTAATCGAGTCTCAGGGTGTCGTGTTCAAAGGACCCAGACATGGCGCATATAGTGAGCTGTTCGCGGCTTGTTCCCCAGACGTTTCGGTGGAGAAGTCTGGTTCGTACATTATTCCGTGGGGAAGATTTGGATGCATCCCGGGAGACATCGCTGAGGGAATGAAGCCGCCATCAAGCGGGGAGAAGTCTCTAGGAACCAAGTTCTGGAACTGGTGTGAGAGGGAGACCTTGTGTTATCAATGAACAAAGCAACCTAGTAGTCTCAATTTACACCAGGAATCGGGATTCAAATTCTTCATTCTTCGTCAGGGATGATAGAGGGCCTAAGAAACAAATGGCCAGCTTGGATATATAGATGTATACAGCGCAGAGCGTACGCATCGAATAAAGGGCATATATCAGCATTTCATCTTTTGTACCTTACAGCAGTCAGCATCTATGAGCCTCCACCCTATGATGAATGCCTAATCGACAGAAGTAGGAAAGTGGATCTTTTACAATGACAATGTGACATAAGGTAGGAAAACAAAGGCAAGCAGGCCAGACGTGGCATGGTATAATTATGCAGAAGGGGTAGGAGGTACATCGGTTTAAGACCCATGCGCCTTCTACATTTAGTCTCTAAAGAAGATTACGCAGAGTAAAATATCCATCAACGAACTCATGTTTTACTCTATATATTCTATCAACGACCTCGTGGCGAAGGAAAAGTCCTCTTAACGCGACGTAATTTCCTTTTTCTTTCTTTTCTCTTTTTCTTCTTTCTTCCTCCATCTATAAGCCGAGATTCGCAATACTTTAACTATATTTAAACATCCCTATAGAGAAGAATTTAGATAAGTCTTATCGTATATAATTTCAATATTTCGCAAATAACCCCCGTCCATAAGCTCTATATTTCTTGATTACAGTATATACTTTAATCGTACGAAAAGAAATGCTAACCGCCGTAAATACCCGTTCGTTTACCCAATTCCAGACCAACGATACCGCCTCCTCCTACCCCCCGCCGTTCTAGACTCCGTAACTACATTATCCGTATTATAGAAGAGAAGCGTATACCTCGCTCGACAAGATAATTCGGTAAGCATAGTTGATCGTTACATCTAGTAGGGCTAGATCCGGTTCCCTGCCTACTTTCTCGAAGTACGACGGTCTGAGTACCGCCCAGAAAGTAATCCCTGAACCATAGATGGAGGTGTACTTGGATGTTACCAGATTCCGAGAGGTGGCTAGCCGATAGGCCCTCGATAACCGCATCAAGGAGCTCTGGTACCTCGTCTTCACAAGCTGGGATACCAGCACGGTGGTCATGCCCCCAGTGCCTGCGACCAAGCGATAAGCGGCCCAAACGACCATGTACGTCGGCACCCTCACAGAGGACGCCAGCGTGTCCGCGGCGAGTAACGCTCGCGCGAAGAAGAGCCACGCGGTGCCTACGGTTCCTGCCTGGCCACAACGGGGAGCTGCGGTCTTTATAAAGATTAATATCAATTGGGCGGACAACGACCTCACATTCCCTTTCGTGGATGTCAAGGGATCGACCTTCCAGTCGTCTATCAGATACGACATGACCGAGAACATGACAATCGACCACGCCAAGGGGCACCTGACCACCCAGTGGGATATGGCAGAGCTCAGCCGTCTCGCAAAGGCCAACACATCCCTGATGGTCTATCGGTGCCGGAATGCCCTTCTGAAGGATCTCCGCAGTGCCGGCCAGCCAGGAGTGGCAACCGACGAGTATCATCCTGATCTATCGGAATTGGCACACATTGAACTATGCAGAGACGTCTGGAGAGCGTAACTGCGATTGACCATGGTATCTATGGAGGTTTATGAGCGGAGCGCTTGCGAAGGGGAGGTTGCGTGATGGTCACGGAATGCTGTAAATTACCGTCCACGACGGAGCATATCGGAGCACGAGAGAATACCCCGCTGCGCGATAAACCCAATCCTTTACTTACCTTATACTAGTGTAACCTCTTAGAACTATCTTCCAACCAACTGTGTTTTACTCTTATCGGCATTATTACCATTCCTATCCGGTTCTCTTCATATACACTGCTGAGAGTACACGTAAAGCATCGCGGCGAAACGCCAATAGCAATAGAAATTGTAGGCGTGACATAGGAAATAGGGTTCAGAGTATCATTACCGATGAGAGATTGTATCATTCACTACATTGCTAAGTTTACGAATTGCAGATGCATTTTGTTACTCCTACGCCATGACTTTGAGGGCAACGCTTGCCCACTGAGGGGCATTTACCCACTGGAAGTCTCACGAAAGCAAGACCTTGCCTCCACTCAGTAAAGATGGTCTGAAACCTGGAAGAGTCCTGCACGGAGTGCCCTTTGATGTGAGGTAAGCTTGGAAACTCGTCATTATGGGGCATGCCCGGGCGACATTGAAGCACATACAGGCGTATCACTTTGGTGTCTAGAGTACCCTGTCTTTGCCGAGTGTGGGTGGCCGGATATCTGTAGCAAGAAACCGATGCTTTTCCTATTTTCAATATGCGCTAGGCATCAAAGATATGTACGGAATAATATGTTCACGAAATCTCCTGGTAACCATTGCCACCCTAATAAAGGATGTCAGGGTTCCACCATAACTTTTCCCTCTAGCAAGTTGTCGCGCCGTTGCCAGTGAAAGAGCCAGACTGGTACGCGCCGCTGGCATCATCGAGACATTCAGCTGATACACAAGTTAGTTACCGGCTACATGAGTCTATTCGCACACTTCACTTACCAACAGTAACCAGCTTGAGGTTGTTCTGCTTCGCCCAGTTGATCAACCACGGGGTCAAAGTCTGCACCGTGGTTGCGTAGGTCTCGTGCATGAGAGGGATATGTCCGTTGCCGCTCGCGCCAGCAGCAGTGAACTTGGCCTCGCTCTGCGCCGGCGTCTGTCCGTTCCAATCGCCAGAATCCACATCATCAGTGATGACCTTGTATCCCAGCGTCTTCATCGTCGAGAGCACGGATCCGCCGGTAGCGAGGTACGGCGGGCGCATGTAGGCAGGCTTCTTGCCGATGATGTTGACCATCGCCTGTTCGAGCTTCTGCATCTCAGTCGTGAGCTGCGCCGTGGTCAAGCTACCAAAGGTGGACGGGTGGGTCCAGGTGTGCGAGGCAATCTGGTGGCCAGAGTCGAAGGCCTTCTTGACGGCGGTGCGCTGGTTGTAGATGCACCCGTAGAGGGTTCCCGTCATGAAGAAAGTGGCCTTGGCGCCGCCGTTGTTCAGGATGTCGACGAGCTGGGAAGTGTACTGGTACGGGCCATCGTCGTAGGCGAGGGCGAAGACCCCGGGCTTGGCGCACTTTTGGATCACGACGCCAGCGCTCGGGGCGCGCTTGATGAGCTCCATGGGGTTCTCGATAGGGATGGCGGCCGCGCTGGCGGCCATCAGGAGACCGGTGACGATGGTATCGAGGAGCATGATGGGCGAATCGATGTTTCTGTCGAAGAATTTAGAGTAGCGAGGGGACTAACGATGGTTGTGGACATCAAGCTTTCAAAAACAGGAATGACCTGGCTGGGCAGCCGTCTATATATGCTTATTCAACAGGTGCGCTCAACAGGCGATGATGAGCCCACACGAAGCACTTCAATCTCGTCACGACTAGAGAACGAAAAGGACGGGAACACCTCCTTTGTGGGGTTATTGGACATGGGGTGAACGGCCGGGTGCGACCTCTTCGGGAGTTCGCTTCGTGGCTCAAGACGAACCTTGCTTCTCCCAGGGGCAAGATTCAAGAGTACCACGGCGCGAGGCCGGCAGTGAGGGGCCTCGAGGGGGCTTGATTCGACTACATTGGGTCAATAGCAATCTAGATGAGTGTGCGGGAGGGAAGCGGGTGACAGCATTGATTGAGCAGTCTCATTTAGGCTCTTCTCCTGGTCGCGGGGTGCTTAATCTGGAACGGAGGGTCACGGTCAAAAGGGAGAATTTTTTGGCGGGGGTCTGATGGGCCATCCCGGCCGAGTTGACTAGGGTATATCAGGGCGGCTGCTATTCCGACGACGATGGTTTCTCCGCAAATTGAACAGAACCAGATTTTCCAGCTCTTTGGGTGCCGGGGAAAGTCGTCCACGTGCTTCTTAACAGCGGCTGAATCGGCATAGCGGCACCGGGGGTCGCCAAGGGTGAGATGTCCCGGAACCTGGGGAAGCTATCATTCTTAACCAGATGAAGTTGGTGATGTTACCATACGACTTTTCGTCCCGGCTAAATAAGAAAGCTTGAACGCCAGCGATCACTGACGCGCTGAAGTTGGCACTAGTTCAGACTACACATGGCCGGGGGAAGGGAGCGTTCAGGGGCTTGAGATCATGTCTGAGCGCTGACTCATTTCATATTCACAACTAACTCACATCAGTCGCGTCTCACTGATTTCACAAAAACTCAATCTCACTTCACGGACCCAATGGGTGAGTGAGGCGCATCCTCGCGAACATTCATACACCTTAGGCAATCTCAGTAATCAAGAAGTTGAGCTGAAGGTAGTGAGCGCTCACGCGCATGCAAGAAGCCAGCCAATCAACGATGATGACTCAAGTGAAGCGAAACCAGCTGATCACTGGCGCCCTTCGCGTGTCAAACCTGAACAACCATCACAACATCCTTCAAAGTTGATGTTGGGGTTCTGACTAGCTTTCATTTCCATGGGTTAAAATCCATCTTACTCACAGCCGAGACCATATTATCAGGAAATCGGCAACGCAACAGTTCCAACATCATCCAGTCAGTCATCATCAAGCGTCTTCTGCTCAAAATGGACGTGGAATGTCAATGCGGCACAGTTACATTCAAGACTCCAGCACCTGAACCCCTTGATATCTACTGCTGCCACTGCTCGCAATGCCGCAAGCAATCTGCTTCAGCATTTGGTACATCGGCAATCTTCCCCGCTGATGGCCTCTTTCCGCTCTCGGATAATCTCGAGTCGAAGCTCCAGGTCTGGACTCGTCCCACAAAGAGCGGCGGGCACATGGACTGCTTTTTCTGCCGGCTATGCGGGACTCGGGTTTTTCATCGCACATGCGATGAGAATGGAGTACCCAAATCAACAGTCAGCATCAAAGGGGGACTGATCTTTGGACTTAAGATGGATAGGGGAAAGCATATCTGGACGAGCAGCGCGGTCGTGAGAATTCCTGACGATGCAGAGAGGTACAACGAATCACCGCCTGCGACGCCCGACAGTGGCAAGGATTGAAAGGCTCTGAAGGCCTCAAAGGGAGCAAATACATCTGCAGTCCTCGTTTGGCTGTTCAAATAAACTCATCTCTTCAGGTAGGGTATGTTTGCATCCCGAACTTAGGTGCACATGCTCCGACTTGCTACCATAGTGTCAATTTCTTTTCGACTGGAGTAAATTGGATGTAACACAGACTAGATGGTGTGTAATATCGACATTTCACGGTCCTATTAGGTAGTTTGATGCTTATCTCAATTTTCTTCGATGAACATCTGGGTCTTCCCTTCATAGCGACCTACAGAGCACCTTAGCAATTGGACGGTAGGCAAAGAAGGCAATGTGATACTTCTGGCCATGGGTTATCGTCTTTCAACGAACTATCCCCTCAAGTACAAATTGACGTCAATTCACAGATACACGGTTTGATCATAGACAACAACAAATTATATCAAACCGACATTGCTCTCCATCCAAACCTCGGAGTAAAACTTCGAAAGGGCGCAAAGATTGAGAGTGACGTACTGACGCAATCTAGCAGTTGCAAGGGAAAATGACATTCCCCTTGGCGACGAGTATAGGCCTTTCTAGCCGCACAATAGGGCGATATCAGCGCAATAGACTTACGAAATTGCTTGCAAAGCACCGTAGGCAGAAGTGAACGAAGTTCAAATGTCTATTTTTAGTACAATTAACAGCTTGACTAATAGGCAACCAAATGACTAACACTACCACAAGCGGCAAGCGGACAACTGCCACTCCAGCCGCATCCGTGGCTAAAGACCGAAGCAACATCAGTGAAGATAGCTATGTCATGACACCTATCGGGGTAAGAATGCTGATGAAGGCCTCCTGACAGCGAAAGGAAATGTCAGAGTGCAGAAACCGGAGATTCTGAGAAAGATATACGCCCCTTGGCCACGCGTGATGAAGGCGACGAGGTGATAAATAGTATAGTGCTGATTACGGAGTCCACAACTCCGCTTCCCACTGAGGGAAAGCGGGAGTAGCAGGCGTGTTGGAACAACCCGATACGAATTCTACGCCGGGCGGCAGTGGCATGTTGAGGCTACCGGGACCGCCAGCGTTGAGGAACAATGCGCGAAAAGGCACGTATATCTCAGAGTCACGTACAAGGACGTTCGCAGCAGTCACCCTGGCTCGACGGGAGTAGTCTGCCGTGATCTGACCGGCATTGGCACCGTAAGCTCCGGCCACAGATGACGAGAATGTACCATAAAACCAAACAAACCCGAAATCATCAGGCACATCGATTGTCAGAAACCAGATCTTTGCTTCGTTGAACTTTAGGTAGCCTCGGTGTTGGATCAAATCACACGAATTGCTCCACGTAGTGTTCGCCGGGCCACGTACTCCATAGATGTTTGTGGGACCTGTTTCGTCACTCGGGCTCGTCCTCCATGAGACGAGCGGAGTAAAGCCTGTGCCAAGAGGAGTTCTGCCTTGCATGACTGTAGTCAAGTTCAGATCCCTTGCGCTTTTGGTCGAATCAGAGTACACGCGCAGGAGCTCTTGACAAGGCTCGGAAGTTCGAGGAAAGACGTAGGCGGCGAACTCGACGCCAGGTGTACATATGGGCGTAGCAGATGTGCTTGAGCTGCTGAGCGAAGAACTTGAGCTGGAGGTAGTTGACGAGATTGGAGTTATGATGGATGAGCTGGAGGACAGACTGGTTGTGAGCGAGGACGAGATGCTTGAAGAAGCGTCGGAAATGCTCGCCGAGAATGTTGATGCCTCAACACTTGTCGAATTTGAGAAGCGTGCCGAGGTGGAAGATGTTGATTCTGTCCTTGTGGAAGTCTGAGTGAAGAAGGTTGTGGTTGACGGCGGTGAGGGCGATAACGAGGGCGATAACGAGGGCGATAACGAGGGCGATAATGAGGCCGCTGGAGACGGCGAAGACAATATGGATGACGAGAATGATGGAGATAACGAAGGCGATGACAATGTTAGAGGAATCGGTGATGGAAAGATTTGAGTTTCAGGATCGCGTGTCGGTAATGTTATAAATGATATGGTACTTGGACCAGAATTCGATGATATGAGCGACTCGGAGACGCTAGAGACTGTCGACATAGTGCGGGAAAATATAGAAGTGTCTTGCAATAAGCTGCTTGTAACACTTGCGGTAGAACGACTTGTGGTGCTGGTCAAGACTTCCAACGAAGTTGCACTTGCTGTAGTCGATGTCGAGGTACTCTGACTAGGCAAGCCGGGAAGTTGTATTTGGCCGTTTTGACACAAGTCGACTATCCCATGTGAATATCAGCTTCGGCATCGTTAGGGCGGACAAGGTAAACTTATTGGTGAACTTTACCTCCATATGCTAAGAGAGAAACTGGATCGCAATCAGGCGGTCTGGACGTAAAGGTGACATGGACCTGCCCAGTAGCATCTTGACAGAAGCTTGCCTGGCTACCAGGGAGAGATGGATGGTAAAACCGAAGAACCCCATCAAAGACGTTGAATGTTGTTGTAATGGCGTTGTTCGGTCGCGTCCCCATAGCATTGAGAGGTTTATGGCTATCACCTGGAGAGTAATACACTGGTACGCCACCATCTAGTAATTCGCCAGCGACCAAGGAAAACACTGTTGCGGTGTTGCATAGCTGACGATCTGCGTTGGTGTTGTGGTTCACGAAACCACCCATCACCCTCTTCTTCAGATTTCGTCTCACAGTCGAAGTTGAGCCTGGAGCAACGAAGAAGATCACAGTTTCAGCAGCTTGCGCGGATATCGACGTAGATGAGCCGGAGCTAGTAGCAGTGGTCGGGGCTAGTCTGCTAGAGGTCAGACTTGCGGACGAAGTTGTGGTGAGCAAAGTCAACGAAGTATCAGATGCAGCAACAGAAAACGAAGACAGTTGTAGAGACGAAGTGGGTATTGTCAACGGGGTCGTTGCCGGCGCACCAATCTGTTCCGTAGCCGGGAGGGAGGTGCCGAGAGAAAAGCTCAGCGTTGCGGAAGCCCCAAGTGTAGGATTTGTGGAAAGCCCAATGGTTGTTTCCGTTGACAAAGGTGCGTTAGCGATGGAAGTTGAGTTCAGTGCCGTCTCCAGTCCTGTTGAGCCAGCAGCTATACTCGTAGGCTCCAGGTAAGTCGATAAGTAAGTGAAGCACCATGTTGCTGGCAAGCCATTTTCATGGTCAAAGAATGGTTCAGACGCTGAGATGGTTTGCGGAAGGAAAAGCAAGCTGAGTATAGACCGAGGCTTCATGATGGCGATTGAGATAACGTTAATGACTAACTCACATGACAGTAAGAGCTCCCCGATATAGCAGAAAATAGACGACATGATTCCCAGATACATATATGTCAAGGTTCAACGCCGGGGAGCAAAAGGTCGCTCGTAATTGAAGCAATCAACACCAAGAGAAGAAACTCCACAATATTATTACAATGAGACATCAAATCTCATTTTCGCGGGACAGAAAACTCTTATTTCAACGAGACATCAAGCCTCAGTGTCAGACAATGAACTAATTGTAATTGGTAAAAGCATGAGTTGGAACGCTGTGAAACTTGAGGTGCGATTTAGGTATGTAGCTAGACCGAGAATAGTTTCACACAACGCCGCAATACCAGGCCTAGGCGGTCGGCGTCCCGACATCGCGGTTGAGTCTGATATGTCCATTGAAACAAAATTCCATACTTCAGCTAGCCACAAGGCGGCTCCCACATTGTTACAGCTCAAAAGCTGTCAGAACTTCCGCATGTGTACTCAGTGATATTTTATAGTAAGACACACACACTTGTTCCTAAGCTCGCTTCTAAATGCTTCCTCCAACCAAGTCTGGCAAGTCTGGTGGCCACATACCCTCCCACTACAACCACAAACATAAAACGTTGTTATTTCTCGATAAAAACTGTACTCGAATACATTAATTCAGCAACCAAGGACGAATCGCTCCGTTACGTTCTTCGCCGTTATTACTATCATCAACATCGCGGTAATGGAAGTCTTTTCCCAATCGACTCTCCTTGCGTGTCGTACTGCGACCATCGTCCAGTGCTTCACCAAGCAGCCATTCGCTCCGTTATGCGGCAGCTGCATGGCGACTCCCGTTGTCCGCTTGCCAGCCGCCACGGGACAGCCCATCACCGTTCAACTACAGGCCCCAAATTGCAACAAATGCGGATGCGATACTTGCGTGCACACAATCTCCTACACTACCGAATACGATACTTTCTGTTCCACGGGTCTCGCTAAGCAGGTGTATGCTGTCACAGAGACATATCGTGGGATGCCCTCGAAACCTACGGTGACGTCTGCGGATGTCCCCTTCGGTTTTACCGCAGAAGTTCAGACCTGCACAACGTGTGGTCCAACCCCCGTCGTGGCAAAAATCACACGCCCAGTGTCGGAGGTGGTGCAGAATGTCAGGGCGTCGGGGGTTATCACCATACCTGCTGGCATAGATCCTCAATACTCCCTGTTCAGCATGGCCGACTATCCAAGCGCAGCATTACCATCCGAGTCTACACGTGTCACTGCTGCCCAAGACCCTCAAGGATTGGTTTTGCAATCCGGCCCGACTCCCGGAGAGACTCTGCCTCTGAGAAAAGACACGTCACTAACGGCGAGCCTTCACGGCACAGTGACGGCGCACGAATCGAACCCAGAACAGATCCCAACTCTGGGATCGCTCAATTCGGGTGTAGTTCTTCCGCTGCCAACTACTGCTTCACGTGAGTATTCATTTTCTGTCAATCTCTGGTCAAGAAACTAACAGGCAGCTTCGCTAGTTCCCATTATCAATACAGTGAGCGGCTCTACCAGACAGTACGGCCCAGCCGCCATTTATAAGTGTGTGATAGCTGGTGGGCTGGTGCTCATGACGGCTTTGATGGGATGAGGCATATACATCTTCTGAACACAGTCTGAGTCTTTGACCAATCTCTAGTCCTGGGTGAGCGATATTGTTCCAAGGAGGTGATCCAAGCAGGTAGACAGCTTGTATGTATGTGGAGGTCTAGATGTAGAATCGGTAAACTCTGCTATGAAGACTTCTGATCACGCTGTCAGCCTATTTTGCCTCGACATCTTTGAACCATACTCCATGATTGAATGCTCATATCCCTGGGAAAAATAAAGGGCTACTGCAAATTCCATCGCTCCCTGTTCAGCATACTCAAAGGCGCTGCGCCAACAAATTGGCTCTTGCCAGCTGATGACCTGGAACGCAAAGTTTTCAGACTAACCCCTTGCAGTGATGAACTCACTGAGTTCGTTCCGTGCTGTAAGACAAGCTTTCATATATGCAATGATGAGGCTGAGACCACGGGTACTTTTCCCGATCGTTCCACCGTAAATTGAACGTTGCACATCCATTAGGCTTTGGCAAGGTATGGATGCTATCAACGAATGTCACTGTCGCAGAAATGCTTTGCTGTGTTCTTCCAGCGTTGTGGAATATTACTTCCAAGCGTGTCGATACAGTGAAGACCTTTGGTTGTCATTCAATCTGCACCTGAAGTTTGTAACTTGTAAATACATGAAAGTTTAACATTGTACAGGAGAATGAGAAGGACTTTGTACGGTTCATGACCCCCCAAATGATGGCCACTGGTATTCCCAGGGGATCACACTTGGTGACTCATGATAGTCTGCCTACGAGGAAGGTCTAGGCATACCTCTTTAGACGCGACGAGACTGCGAGCGCTGACCAATGCTGCGCTTGGCGCTCATCATCTTGACACTCTCATCGTAGTCGGATGTGCCATTGTTGGGATCGGCGTCCTTCTGTATTGGTATCAGCCCTGCTCTCTTTCCATCATTGGGTCAAGAGGATTACTTACCGCGTTCTCGGCGCCGCACTTGGAACCAGCATTGTACTTTCCATCAGGCCCATCGACACCCGCAAAGTCTCGCTTGCTGTTCGCCTTGAGCATATTGGTAGCAGCCTCGGGCAACCACCCGTTGATAAAGTCGCCGTGCGAGCAGAACGAGTTACCGCACGCAAGCTCAAAAGGCGGCGTGCCGTTCCATCCGTCTGGAAGCACCTTGCGCAGATCATAGCGGATTGAGAACCGAAGCTGCGGCTGGCGCTTCATGCCTTCGGGGCACCGGTTGGCGGGCTTGAAGCCGTCCTTCCAGTTCTGGGTACCCGAGTAGGCCGACTCGAGAGTCTGCTCGTTAACGCAGTCGTGGAAGAGGAGGAGAGTCTGTAGGTGCGTGGAGCACGTCTTTGTGGGCCACGCCGCGACCTCTTTACCCTCTTCGGTGGGATCGCCCTCACAGAACCATTGGATGCCGGCGAGGTCCTCGACGTCGGCTTGTGTGGTTCCTTTGGAGTTTCCGGCAACGGTTTTGTAGTTTTGGGGGATGGCGACCTCAGCGCTTTCGATAGCGACGTAGTAGGCGCTGAAGCGAGAGAAGGGGACTGGGGTCATGCCGGTGTCATTCTTGACGTACAGAGTTGGGACCCCTTTAGAGTTTAAGTCAGCGAGAGATCTTCTTGAAATTGGGGAAATGGCTGTGGTTCAAGAGAACATAGGATTGGGCCTCAGCTTACAGTAAGAAGAGTAGTCATTGGGGTTCTCGGCAGTTGAGCAACCTGCTTGGAGCTCGGCAGAGGTGTTCGTGTTTAGGGTGACGGCGTCGGAACCAAAGAAGGTGTGCATGTGGCTCTTGTACTGGCCCGGGATGACGACGGGATCGATGTTTTTGCGCATGAAGGGCTCGGCCACGGCAATGGTGTATGCATTGGCGATGCCAGCACCGGCAAGCAAAAGTGAAGTAGTAGGAAGCATCTTGAAGTGGTTTACAGGGAGTGCGAAGAGAAGTGGAATGAAACGAACGAATATCACCAAACCTGTCAAGGAGAGAGACTCGGGAATGGGATTGGTTGAGGGAAGGACAAGTTCACACTGACAGACCCAATAAGCCTTCCCTCCAAGTAGGCCATCGGCGTTTCTTTAGTATCTACAACCTTTACTCCCCCGAGCCGCCCGATCTCAACGTTTGTTTGTCCCATCACTGCCGCCTCCGCCACCCCAGCAGGCCCGCCATGCATCCCGTGAGCTGTCAATCCCAGCGAGCTGTATGTTTGCAAGGATGAAGATGCACCTATTCTGCGGGCCTGGGCAGCTGAAACGCGGTGACCGGCTGGGCGGCGCACTTCCAAAGCCTTCAACGAATTGAAGTGCCACCTGAATGCGGTAGCGCGCTTGGGATGGGAACGGTACAGGCGCCGCACGCCCATGACTTTAATTTCGATTCGAAACGTGCTTGACAGGGTGACAGGGACGCAGATTTTGCCCCAGGCCTTGTTAGTACCCATTAGGGCCAACGATCGAGGCCTACGGATTGCACGGAGCTATCCACCAGACTGGTTTGCATCAACGGACAAAGTAGAGCGGCCTATCGGACATTCTACGCCTTATCAAGTCTGTTAACTGGTGAATGCGAAATGTGTGTATAGTGTACAGCTCAGGTGTGGCAGGTAACCTTGCTTCTACTATCGACCACTTTGATTTCTAGACTCCAACCGATGCAATTTACTGCTGACACCGGCACCTGTCAAATTGGTCGGACCTCGTTCGTGCCCCTGACCTCGAAACCAGAGTGACTGGCTCTATAAGGCTCTATCTATAGAGTTCATAAGGTAAGGTAGAGAAGGCTTAGGACGGAAGACAACGTTGAGTACTGGCATTTATTTCCACGGCGCACAACTATCAACCTTTGTCTCTGAAGGAACTCATGATGCATGAAGCGAAATGCATGAAGTACTTCGCAGTTCGCTCTCGCTCTCTCAAAGGAGCCGGCAATCTTAAAATTGGCAGCCACAAGGCAAGGCAGTCCCCCCTGTACGCGGAGAGAAGCCGTGTTAACCCCTCCATCCATCCCCTGTAATCTCCACTGTATGCGTGCACGGAGAACTGCATCGCACATTCTAAAGCTGCGACGTTCTGCCCGCTAGTTTTTTTCGTGATCTTAACAGGAATTGATATACGCTAGGTCATCTTTTAGCCTTCATTGGCACACGAAATATGTTACATTTTTACACAGTCTTCTCATGGTATAGCCACCAAGCTGTCTGATGTAAGTGAGAAAGTCCATAGTTCACAAAAAATACTCAGCACCCGTATTTCTTCCCAGAATTCCAAGTTGGGCCGTCCCAATCTGGCTGAGAAGGCCACAGAACCCTGCATGTAGTGCATTCGGCCAAGACTATGTGCGAAGCGAATGCCGCCCATAGTATCATCCAATCACTTACCGCTCAATGGCAACTACTAGGGTAGTCGATTGCATAGATGCCAGATGAACAAGACTTCCTCTCTTGCCCTCTTTTGTGGGAGATCCAGGAATCGGCCAATCTGTCTGAAGTTTGACAGGTCTCCATCCACGTCAATCCAACGCAAGGTCAACCTAGTCGGTGTACTGCATGACGTAGATCTCGATTAGAAAGCGTGATTTCCAAACCTACATCGACATCGTTAAGCCCACCACGAGTAGAGTTCATTAATTCTGGCTCCCGGGGACCATCTTCAGCTACTATCAGAATGCTTGCCAAATCACTTCCGATTCTGCAAAACTATCAAGAACACATGGTTACTTTTCAAGTAAATTGGTGCACAAGACAATGCCGACATTCATTAGGATTTAATACAGCGCCTTATCTATCCACACTGGTAAACAGGCGTTTCTGTGTTCCAGTACGCGTACAAGTTCTTGTTCCCCTTCCGATCGATCTTACCCTGCCGGCGCCGTTCCTCCTTCTGCACCTTTTCTTCATTCCTGTACTGCACCGCCAGCAGCGATCGCTGCTCCGATGTAGATAAGTGCATCAGTGCACTTCGATCATTCGCCCTCATGTTTGCTAGCTGATGCGCGATCACCGCCTTCTCTCGCTTTTCTCTTTTAGACAGTGCTTGTGTCCGACCAGGATGCACCGGGTCCTCGCTGGGCTCCTCTTCTTCAGATTCTACCTGGACATATTCTAGTCGTGAAGGTGGGGTCCGCATTCGGCGTCTTAGGTGATTGATAGACGGTCCCGTCTGGTCCGAGGACCGCTTGGATATGATCTTGCCTGATGGCAACCGAAGAGAGTCTTCATCGACCTGTAACGGCTGTCGACTTGGGCTTGCCGGCTCGTTCTGCACATCGCACTCGTCTTTGTCGCTCTCAAAGTCACTCCCTTCGTTGCCTTCGGTCTCGGAGAAAGTGAAGTCGTAAAAGTCGGCAAATTCGGAGTCTTGGTTTGCTGGGTCAAACCTGCAGTGACCTTTGCCGACCATGTGTTGCTGTACAGCTTGTACCGTTGTCCTCTTTGTCCCGCAATGTAGACATTCCCGATAATCGAATATGACTAGGTGCAGGTACTTGAAGAGAGTTTCCAGGTCGACGAGTAGATTTTGATGATGTGGAATAAACAGGCCGTGTGACTTTTGCATGTGGGCTACACTGGCAGGGAAGTCTGCTGAGAGATTGGGGCAGAAGAGGCATTGCCCAGGAATGAATGGTTGCATGCCCGCGCTGTGAGAGTCAATTGACTCTTTCGGGGAAAGTGGTATGTTGTTGTTGTTGTTGTTCTGATTTGAGAGCGAGTCCGTCGAATTCCGAAGTAGCGCAGTTGTTGCTGTGTTCGTTGCTGTTGTTGTTGCACCCGGCATTGATAAGTGGTCGTTTGAGTGGAATTAGATTCTGGCTGGTCTTAGTTGGAAGAGGGGACGGAACTGGATCCCGATGTTGTATCTAAAATTGAAGTTGTCTTTTCGATTGAATTGATGGAATGGAATAAGCTCCATTCGGATGATTCCCATATCTATATAATTACTTGCATTCACATAAACAAACTAGGCGGCGTTCCGAACATCCACGGGTTCTCAACACCGTGGTCGATGGCCCAGAAGTCCGAGCCGCAGGACTAAGCCCCTTTGATCCAAGGATGTACGCCAGGATTCGGACGGTCCACTATAACTGGAAGAGTCCGCCAATGAACTCTTAGTATCTCGGTGACGAGGTATGATTCATAATGAACGATGCAGCCACTTTCGGTGTTCTACCAATGAACTGCTAGGTGACTCACCACAATAATGAGACAGGCAAGAATGTCCTAGACCCTGAAACGGCTCTTTCTCTTTTCTATTATTCTGACTTAGATCTCGACTGAGCAATATCATCAGAAGATTGGCTCATTAAGAGCCGCGATTGGCCGAGAATAGCCGAGAGTCTTATGTAGCAAAAGCCACGCATAAACACCAGTACAGTCACAGGTCCAGAGGTGCGGCTCAAGGAATCAGTGTATGTGGCATTGAATACATTCATTGGCTCTATTTGTTTGTCTCTTTGATGTAATTGAAACAGCAGAGTGGTCTAATCATCGGCCACATTGGCCAGCGACAATCTGGCTGGACAACTCATTGGGCGGGATTTCCAACCCACATCGACCGTCTGCAGAGCAAGTTCCCTTGAATGTCCCGTCAGTGCAGGCCTGGCCTGCAACGCCACCACCCTTCTTCTGGGGAGCTGTCGATATCTATATTAGCACGCAAGTGCAGATGGACGTCTTGGCGCCGGAAGCATTAAGAAGTACGCACTCGCATGGACAGACGCTATAAGCCCCAAGATCAAGAGAGCGGCGTTTGCGGAGAACTTCATATTCGATAGGAATTGCTCAAGTCAATAACGAGAATTCTGCTTTGCTTCGAAATCGAATCGATGATTGAACAGTAGATTAGTGAAGTTATGAGGAGTAGAACGAATGAGGAAAGAGATAGGAATTTTGAGCAAGAAAATGCGAAACCAACGCGAATGACTTGCGTGATAAGTCAGAATGGTTAATGAGTTGTTGTTCTAGACAGCTTGAATCCTCAGGATGTTCGTCGCTATTCAAGCATGAGGTATATTTACCAACAAGATCATCACTTGCTTTATTTGACTCCGTAGGGAAGGTTTTCTTTTCGTCTTCGAGATCTTCATTTGCCCATTCGCTTTCGGTTCCCATGGATTTGGCTTCGCTTACAGCGACTTGCAACGTCGCAAGTTTGGATGGCATCCTCGTTGACACCGCTCTAATTTTCGGATGAAACTTTACCCACGTCCATTGAGTAAGCCATCTCAAATAATCGACTCTTGAATGTACCCGTCTGACCCAGGGAATTGGAACCAACCGCGTCTGATCGACATTTGAGAAGCGAAACAGTACAGCGATAGAAGCTTAGTATTGAGGTTTCTAGAAGACTTCGATTGAGGTAATTTCCACCGCAATCCCCCATGAAGAATTCTATGGAGTTTTCACGCTTCATTCTCCTAGAACGACAGTTTGTGAGACTTTTCTTGACAGTAGTATCCACCGAGCATGTCGTTTTGAATTCCGAGCGTTCCAAAATGCGGCAGCGATATGTCTTCCGCTACCTAAGCACTCATTCTATTCCTACAAGACGCCGCAAGTCTTTCCAATACGCTCAAGTGCCACTCAAACTCCCTCACGCTAATGCTGAACCGCCGCAAGTTCCGCGTTCCTACAAACATTGCACCCTCGATATCTTCCGGCAGGATTTCTTTGAAGACGGGGCACATTGTCGCCACTCGGAGGATGGTAACCATGGTGAAGGTCCTAAGGAGATGTCAGAAACGAGCCTCTACAGTAGTGGTGCTCTGTAGCCTAAGGCTTCGCACTTACACCATTCCGGCAGCAAATAGGCCAGTAATGCTGTTGGCAGGATCAATGTCGAAAACATTGATGAAACCCTTGCAACCCTCAAGGCACATTCGGCACCGCTCCAATATCGCCTCCCGGCACGGATGCGTCTCGAAGTGCGCGATGTTCAACATCACGTATTCGATGAAAGGGCGATGAATGATGTACTGCCCCGCATAGTACCGCCCCTTGAGCCTCAGCACGTTCCACGGATTGTTGCCCAACTCTTCAACTTGAATGATACCGGGCGTCATAGGAGAAGTCGCAATTTCCGACTGTTGCCCAGGCGTTCTTCTAGGCTGGCTCGTGAGCAGGAAATCGGGGAGATTGCGGTAAAGCGCACCGTGATACGACCAAAGATCCTCGGTGATCCGCAGTAGCCAGTTGGCGTAGTTGGTGCGCGTCATGCGAAACTGGTCTTTGCTATCAAAGACGACGCTGTTAACCCGGTTGAGAAACCGCCTGATTGCCGCGTTGGTACTGATTTGGAAGGCGACAAGTTCCTCGGTCCTGTAGAAAGACGTCGATGACGGACTCGTCACCTCGGCTTCCGGGGTCGCCTGGTTGGTGGTGAAGTCTTTGTGCTGCTTGGGTGTTTCGGGGGCCGGGTAGGGTACGACTTCTTCGTATCTCGCTATACCTGAGGGTAATGTGATTGAGATCTCGGACACAAAGTCACCTTCGTAAATCAGTGCGACCCAAAAGAGTCTACGGAAGGCGTCCGAGAATTCATCGTTGCCTTCTGCGCCTCTGGCATCTCTGTTTCTTGTTTTAGTAACCCAGTTGCTTGCAGGCGGGACTTGCGAGGTCCTCAAGATAAGTACCTTTTCGCGAGAGCTTCACACTTGACGGCGGTTGCATGTGCCCAGTGGAAAGAATCTGCTACTCTTCCGTTCGCATTCATGTATAAGCTGCAGGCCGTCAGTTCAGGTAGAACAATGCTAAGTATACAAGCATGAGTCTGACCTCGCCAACATCGTGCATTGTGCTGCTTCAAGGCTGATTTCAGATGAAATGAAGCCCAGCAAAAGTCGCGCTTTTCGCCACAGCTGCTCATCGATGCCTGGAAAGTCTCCAATGATGCTCGAACTTATGGGTCTTTGGCGTTGACCTCCATCTCGGCCTGCTCTTTCATCCAATGAGATGCGATAGTCCCCAGTGTAGACGAAGGATCCCATGCAGAGGACCAACAGCAATAAACAGTACCGGGCCGGCGCAGTAAGAGGCGAGACCACACTTGCAGTCTTTTCAGACGCTACTACTTCATTGAAAGTGTTGATGATGTCCTGCGGGGAGAGGAGAGGAAAGAAGATGTTCACTTCGGCAAAGTACTCATGGATCACCTCCCGATACCGATCGGCGGCATGGATGGATACTGGCAGACTCCGGTCTTGGAATAATCTCCAAGACTCTGGAGGGCACTTCGAAGAATCTGTACCTGTATCTTTGCGGAAAAAGATGTCAGTTGCTTCCGCTGAGCGCAGTCCTCCCGGAAAAGCTGGCTGCGGTGGTTGTGACTCCGAGTCCGTTTCTGATAGCAGCTGCTTTACTATCGGCCACTCAAAGACATGGTTCGCATTCGCTGTATGGGATAAAGGGATTGGAATTTGAGCATCTGCATCAGCATTCCTTGTCTGAACCGCGTCTGTTTGGTCCCTCGTTGACGTTGAGTCAGGACCTGCCTCGGGCTGTGTATGGTGTGCCGATCGCGGAGTCGTAGCATGCCGTGTAGCTTGGGGTGATGGCGTATCTAAAGACGGTTGGGAAGCTTGCTGGCTCTGCGGTTGCTGTTGTCCAGAAAATACTGGTGAAGAAAGCAGGCGATCTTCCAACATCTGGATGCGCTCCAACAAGATCCTAGTATTCTGCTCGATGCGCGGCTGGTTCGAGTCGCGGTAGACGCACTCCACGTTCTGCGTCACGCAGAGACTGCACTTTGGCTTGGCAGCGTCGCATCGCGTCTTGCGGGCCCGGCAGTTGGTGCATGCCTGCCATACACGGCGTCGTGCCGGAAAGTAATGGGCAGCAGAGAAGGAGGAAGACGGCGCGGAGTCATCCATGACCGGCCGCCCATCGGCATCGGGAGCACAAGGGTACGGGAGTGAGTTGTGCGATTTGCGGAGATGGAACTGAAAAATCCACTGGAGACAAGGGAATTCTTTGGCGGATTTAACTGGCTGAGGCCCACGTTTCAAGTTACTTCAGGGGACATTAGGTGGGGAACTTCCCCGCTACTCCCCGGCTGTCCTAGTGCCGCGCGGCGCCGGGATCTTGCCGGTCTGTCCGTGATGTTCGGCCTGAGGGCCGAGTGCTCGTGGCTTGTTCAGATTCATCCAGAGACTATAGACTGAGGGACTGCTTAGGAAACATAAGTTTGTGGAAAGCCCAGGTGACGTATGGCGGACTACCTTAAATAAGGACTATTCCCATATAGCAAGGATCTCGCCTGAGAAGCTGTAAAATCCGATCAATGCCAAGCATAGCGAAGAATATGACGGTCAATTCTTCCTTGACTCAAATCGGTGTAGTACATATTGCAATTGAATCGAAAAGAGTTGAACCCGTAGTCATTATTCTACGAAACCCAAATAACGCCAGTGTATGCAACCCAGTCAGCCTCATCATGATGTCGAGGCTAATGAAAGTTTCGAAGCTATGAAACAACAGCAACTGGAGTTAGACTGGCCTGAGCAAGATGCTTCTTCTTTTCATCAGGTGCCAGCTCAAATACGCCAACACCAGATACAGTTTCTTTGGGCTTTCCTTGTTCCTTCTCAACCTCTGAGGGAATCACCTTGCCCTCCAACCTCTTGTCCCCAGGCGTCATCGGCGCATAGAGGCTCAACAACTCATTCAGCCTCTCTCGCTGAATGCAGTTTTCGTACTTCCAGCTGGCAGCAAGCTCATCCAGCTCTTCAAACGTCTTGTCCTTAAAGTAATCGGCCCATTCGGGGATCATGTACTCCGTCATGGTGATGCCGCGGATGCCGCGGAACACGTGCATGTGCATGCGCCACTGCCACGGGTACTTCTTGTTGTATTGTGCGGGAACGTTGTCTTCGAACCACTTGTGTAGGGGGCCAAAGAGATTGGGCTGGAGGTGTGCGTCGTCGTAGGCCCAGCTGTCGACGGCAAGGTCGCGCTTCTTGCGGATCATGGGGCCGAGGAGCTTCAGCCAGGCGGAATCAGGGGAGAGGTAAGTCATGCCCATGACGTTTACGTCTTTGTAGGCCCAGATACTCCATGCTACGGATGGAGCTGTGAGCGAATGTTCAAAGGTCTCGTGTCACAAGTTGTCTTACCAATACCCTCGTCGGTATAAATTGCCATTTGCTTGTCCAGCATCTTGTATCGTTCCTCGTTGTGCTCTTCGAAGTCTGGGTTGTACTCCTTTCGTTCATAAATTGGACCGAATTCGCCTGCGCCTCAACGGTTAGCGATTTGTCTATTCATACTTCGAGGTGTTCATACCATTCCAGATTGGCACGTTGTGCTCTTTCATGAAAGCAACCTTGCGGTCGTACATCTGGCGGATATAGGCATCCTGATCTGCCAGACCTTGGTATCTACCAATGCGGTTGGGAAAGCCGAATCCACAGTAATCGTGCACCGCATAGACAGAGTTATCGAACACCTTCGTGAAGCCGGAAAAGTCCATGCTAAACGTGTTGCCCTCGAGCCAGAGAATGTGTTCGGGATCAATGTCGCGAATGGCGGGGACGATGCGATCGTAGAAGGCGAGAAGGCGAGTCCACTCGACGTCGGCGGGTTCGTTGAGAGGGTTGTATCCTGCGATCCACGGGTTTCCCTTGTATCGCTTCGCTATCACCTGCCAAAGGTTGATAACTCTGTCTTGGAAATGCTTGTGGTCCCAGAACGCGGCGTATCCGGTCGGGTTATCTGAGTGCCAATCTTGGTTCTGGCCACCAGGAGCGGAGTGGAGGTCGAGAATTGTGTAGATCTTGTACTTGGCGCACTACAAGAAGAAACGTTAGTCGGGAAGAAGACTCTGAGAAACGTTGGAGGAACCTACGATTGCAATTGCGCGATCAAGATGCTTGAAGCCTTCCTCTTTGATCACAAAGGGGTTCATGTCATCTTCGAAGTGGTGGTAGTTGAAAGACAGGCGGATGCAGTTGAAGCCAATTGAGGCGAGGAATTCGGCGTCTTTCTCGGTGAAGAAGTATTCGAGGAACTTGTCGAAGAAGAAATCGCACTTCTCCTTGCCGAGCACCTTCAGCAGTGCTGCACGAATCTGGTGCTCACGACCGGGGAAGCCGTTCATGAAGTTCTCCATCAGCATCCAGCCACCGAGGGCCGTCTGTATCGCGATAGGCAGTCAGCAATGGGCCTTCGGGCAGTTGCATTCTGGATATAAAGTGGTAGACACTTACGCCGCGGAGAAGGACAGGCTTGCCCTCAGCATCGACAATGCTGGAACCGGACGTTCTGAGGATTCCGTTTGACATTGCTGCAATCAGATTGAATCAAAATGAGCGAGGATGACAGAATCAAGGGACAGGGACCAACCGACCCCAACGGCAAGTCCAGCTCCTAAATAGGACCCTTCGGATACGCGCAACGGTTCCAAGCCAGAGCTTCGTACGATCCGTCACTCTCATTGCGGAGTCTTTGCACTAGGTCCACACAACAGGCCCCATGACATCCCATTATCTCTGAGTAAAGCATAGGCTGACCGAACTCGTACATACGCGCCGCTGAAGGCCAACACGCGACTTAGAGTCCCCACGTTGGACATTCGGGGCAGACTTCGACGCTTCCCCGACCCCACGTTCCCACGTTCCCCAACTCGGGGGAATCATTTGGATGCCCCGCATAGCTTAGACGACGGACGACATCAGCCGCAGGACTCAAAGGACGCTAGGGGGAAGGTTTTGGATGCCCCGATGGCGCTCAGACCAGATCGGGGGAAGCATCTATTTCCCCCGAAGGTTCATGATTCGTCAATCTTGTGGAAAAGAGGAGCCAGGGATCTCATACGTACTCCACACTATCGTCGGCCGACGCTACACAACTGGTGTTGTTCTCACTAGTTTACACGGTTTTGCTGCCCTTTGTTCTACGGAAACAATCGGACGAGTCAGGCGAGCTTGACTTCATCCGCAACTTCTAATGGTTCGTTTCCCCATGGAGACTCGTCCAGACATCTTCATCTCGTGATGCCCCGGATGTGGGGACCAAGTTTACTTTTACCCCAGCCCCCGGATCTTCTCCGCATCCCATCATCCGACTTGCCAAACCCCCGTCTTTGTCCCGATAGTTCCCAAGTCCTCTTCGGCAGGCAGAGCCTTTGCGTCCCAAGCGTACGGTTCTGCTAACATTGTCGTGTGTGAGTGTGAAGGGCTAGCTTTCCGCGCCAATGGTAATATCGCTCGATCGGAATACTTCTTCTCCTAAGCCCGTCTGCCGACTTTGTAACGCCGTCACCTAGCAAGACTGCTTGACACCAATCCAACGAGCAAAACCTGGCAAAGTCTCGAAGCGTTCCAGAAGAGTTGTTGACACCGTCCCACCTCGACAGGACAACTTGGTCACGGGCATATAAGGACACGCAAGATCCCGGCTATCTGGTCTCGGTTCTCAACTCATAAGTTCATCTCCACTACTGAGCCAACCTTGCCTCCTTTCTCCCGGCTTAGTTCTTGTCAACTTCTCTGTTCTTCTACGATACTACTTGCCACAATGAACTTCCTCCGCCAACGCCTCCCTGCCCCGAGGCAAGACCAGCAAGCCCGACGAGCTCGCCAGCAAGGCGGACCGGCGGCCGCGAGCGAGAGCTACCAACCCTCTCGCATCGCCCAACTCGCCCAGGAGTCTCCCACATGGTACAAATCCGCCGCCCGCCGAAAGCTCTACTTCCTCCTCTTCCCCGCCGCCGTTGTCTCGTACGCCACGAGCGGATACGATGGCTCGATGATGAACTCCCTCCAGACCGTTTCCTACTTTGACGACTTCTTCGACAACCCGCGCGGGGCGGTCCTCGGCTTGATGAGTGCCATCATGGCTTTGGGGAGCATCTGCTCGACACCCATCGCTCCGTGGGTCGCTGATAAGTTTGGAAGACGATGGGGTATCACGACGGGAAGTTGTATCATGATTATTGGTGCAATCTTGCAGTGCGAGAGTACCGCGTTTGCCATGTTTGTCGTGAGCAGATTCATCCTCGGATTCGGTCTTTCTTTTGCGACGACTTCGGCGCCGAGCTTGGTTAGTGAGCTGTCGCATCCCAAGGATCGCGTCACCATCACGGCTATCTGCAATACCTGGTATGTACTATCATCTTAAGCAACCAATTGGAGAAAATCAAGAACCAAGGGCTGACGACGTGGGCTTGGCAGTTGGTATGTCGGTAGTATCGCGGCAGCATGGATCACGTTTGGTACTCGAAATATCCCTAGCACCTGGTCTTGGCGAATTCCGTCTCTTCTTCAGATGGCACCTAGTGTGGTGCAGCTCGCAGCCATCTGGTTTGTCCCCGAGTCTCCGCGTTGGCTCATCTCACACGATCGTGGGGACGAGGCCATGGAGGCCTTGAAGCAATACCACGGCGAAGGCGAAGAAACGGAGCTGGTCAGATTGGAGTTTGAAGAGATCAGAGCTGCTATCGACAATGAGAAGAGTAAGTTTGGAGATCCCATGGAGTCTTGACGCATTTGCTAATCGCATCGAAGGACTTGGAAGCACAACTTGGGCATCAATGGTTAAGACGAAAGGCAACCGATACCGCATGTTCCTTGTCATCTGTAAGAAGCTCGTCCAAGCATACAAGAATCTAGTTCCATTTCCATACTGACGCTAACGATAGGCATGGGATTCTTCTCGCAATGGTCTGGTAACGGCCTGATTGCTTATTGTAAGTAGAAGACGAAACTTTCCCATTACTTCAGCGGGATTTGGACGTTAGCTGATGCGGACTAGACCTCTCGAGAATCATGGACACCGTCGGTATCACAAACAAGAACACACAAGCTCTGGTCAATGGCTTACTCAACATCTGGAACTTCGGCCTTGCCCTGACTACTGCATTCTTCGTGGAACGCATCGGCCGCCGTCCCCTCTTCCGCATCTCGACCTGCGGTATGCTCGTAGTCTTTATCGGTTGGACCATCGCCTCAGCTCGATTCGCCGAAACCAGTGCCAGCTCCGCCGGTATCGCCGTCATGGCGCTGATTTTCATCTACCAAGTCTTTTACTGCATCGCCTTCTCGCCCTTGCCGGTCGCTTATTCTGTGGAGGTCCTGCCGTACTCCATCCGCGCCAAGGGTATGGCAACATACGTCTTCTCAACTAAAGCTGCCGTCTTTGTCAACCAATACGTAAACCCGATCGGCATCCAGAATATTGGGTGGCGCTTCTATATAGTCTATGTTGCTATCTTAGCCGTGGAGGCTTGCATCGCTTATGGGTGGTTCTTGGAGACTAAGGGCAAGGCTTTGGAGGAGATTGCCGTCATCTTTGATGGTGAAGAAGCGAACGTTCGGATTGCGGAAAATGGGAAGGGAGATGGTCCTATTGACGTGGTGGAAACGGAGCACGCAACTTCAAAGGTCTAGTTCGAGCGACATTGTCTACCTAACCAGGTACAGGATAAATCTCACATGAGGACGGGCTTGAACATGAGGGCATGACAGCAAAGAGGCCAGAGTAAGCAGATCACAAGATTACACAAGAGACAAATTTCTTGAAAAACTGGGTATTTGAAATTTTATACATGAGATACCAACTTGAGCAATTTAAGTATGAGGTTGATGATTTACGTTGGTGCATTAAAGGTCTCAATCATGTCAGAGCAGACCCGATGAGGGCATGAACTTAGATTTTCCAGCCTAGAGCCAGTTACTACTGAAGGGGAAACGAGCCAACTGGAACAATGGTCAACAAACCATTCAAGTACATGACTCCTAGTGGGGTACTTACTAGCACTTTCCCTCCGAAATTGCCTTAGGGCTAGTAAGCTCGAGATCGAAGTATAGGGAGAGGGTTGGGGTAAGCTATATAGCCACCTCCCCAGCAACGGTCCCAGTCATGGACGTCTGGAGATCGGACTTTGGCCATCTTCATCTGACTGATATCTACGCTAATGAGTTAGCAGAACCTTTGAACTCGATGCTTGCGAGACCTACTTCGACCAAGGCACACTCGAGCTCGGGATCCAAAGGCAAAGAAGAAATGGTCTATGAAGAGTTTGGTCAGATATTGGAGACAGGACTCGTCAGGGAAACTTACGCATGTCGCTATTGTCCCCTTTGCGCTACCTCTCAGGCCGAAACGCGTAAACATCTCGGCCATACTCTTCCTTGCTACGATGAACAACCCAAGGGTTGAAGCCGACGACAGACTAAGAAAAACAAAAGCTATTAGCAGGTTTAAAAGTGCGTGATGGCCTCGAGCTGTGGTGATCAAGGGGATGCTTACCCCAGCTGGCATGTGGTAGCCACCAATGTCATAGCCACCTTGGGGCACTACACGAGGAAGAGTCATGCCGGCATAATTATAAAGAAATAAACCTCCAATTGAATGTAAATTCTAGCTTAGTCTAACTCTATCTTAATGTGTCCACTTCCACGACTAACGCAGCTGAGCATGTTGCGTTTCTTCTCTTCAGGGTAGAGAGCCGTTCCTTGGTGATCAACCTTGCCGTCACAAACAGTGACTTTACAAGCACCGCAGCCGCCCATTTCGCAGAAGAAGGTCATATCAAAGCCTGCCTCCCGTAATACCGTTAGCAGCGTTTTGTCGGGGGGCACGTCCAATGTCTTCTTCCGGTGTGACTCGAGCTCATTCACTTCAACGGTGAAAGGCTTGCCTCTCGTTGATGCGGAATCCACTCCGAAGCTTTCGAAATGCAGCATGTGGTCTGGATATCCCATCTCCCTAGCTCGTCTCTGAGCGGCTTTCATCAATCCTTCTGGGCCGCAACAGTAAATCCTCGTGGTGTGTTTTCCATCCTTATCAGAGCCCGGAATCAGGGCGTCCAAGTCTAGGCGTCTGCCTTCGTTCTTAGCATAGAGCGTTATGTTCTCGCTAGGGAAGCGGTTCAGGAATGCAGCCTCTTCGCGGTTTCGCGTTGCGTAATGTACTTCGTAGTCGATGTCCTCCTTCTTCCACTGGGCAATCTTTGGGAGGAATGCTGTCACGCCGATACCTCCGATTATGACAAGTCGTCTGTCCACCAGTCCTTCCTCCACGCATTTCTGTTCGTCTTCTACAGCCTTTGGGACCCCGCCAGGGGCCATGGTGATTATATCACCTATTTGGAGCTTCATGTGTAGATACCTCGATCCTCCCCTAGAATGATCGTCGTGGGCCACGCCAAGGGAAAACCGGTTCAGGTCTCCTGATACGATCGAGTATGACCGCGAATACCTCTCATCGTCCGTTCCGAATTCAATTTGCGCAAACGCGAACTCTTTGAAGGTGGGTTCGTTGATCGTGAAAGGTTCTCGGAGTTGAAAGGTGAATTGTTTGACTCGCGAAGTAACGGGTGTGATATCCACGACTGCGTATCTTTTCGGCGTTGACTGCAAGCGGTTCAGCGCAAATTCCCGGACCATGCTCGTCACCACGCTCATGTTGCACAGCTCTGCCACCAAAGGCAGTGCAACGTCCTTCCCCTGGATCACGCGCTTGATATTGAGAATCGACCATCGCGGATGAGGACGCTCCATGAGCTCCATCACGTCACCCGCGCATATATACCCCGCCGTTCTGACTCTCATATTCCATCCCGTTCGCGCCGTGCGATTGACGCGCTTCAGGGCTCTGCCCCATTCGAAGCGCAAGTTTAGCTTGTAACACGGGCTGCGAGGTTCGCTCACTTCAACCACGACATCCCTGCCGATGCGGTAGACGTCGCCGACGCAAACATTTTCTTCGCTCATGTTGGTGCCAACTATGTTCTCCCCAAAGGCGCCGTAATCGAAGAGCTCCGGTTTGGGACAGCCGTCCTCGCACCGCCAGGACTCATAGTGCTCCGAGGCGTACTGGTGCAGAGCACGCTCGGTACTCCAGTGTATGGGGTAGACGTGCTTGTCATTGCCGATGCCGTGCTCGTTGATGAAGATACGCCCTTGCTGGACTTGTTTGAAGATGCCGGACGGTTCGGCGACGAGAGTTTTGACTTTTCCGGATCTGATTTGGAGGACTTTGCCTGGAAGCGGTGTTGGCGCATCGGAGAGACTGCTTATGGTCTCTTTTGAGATATTTCTCGTGCTTTTTGGCATTTTGAAAAAAAAAAAAAAAAAAAAAAAAAACAATACGAGAGCTTTAGCTTTGGATTAGCTTTCGATGGTATGTTTGAAGGTATTGCCCACAAATTATAGCTAAGTAGCTGCGCAATGCAAGTGCAGATATTGCCGAGAGTCTGAGAGTTGTAATAGTCTTTGCTGATGATGAGAGACGACCATAATGGATCAAAGCGACGAAAGTATTCCTTAAGACAAAGAGCGATTTCCCCGATTTCTCAGATTAATTCGTGGATCAAAGCCCATGACGGAGCTCCGCGGTGCCGAGGGCGCGAAAGCGCGGTGACTTTCTGCTTTGATGACATCACAACTGCTCGGCCCTCTCGGTGCCTCACGGCGATAACAAAAGACGCGAACATACAGAATAATTAGTACGTATCCAATTTTGAGCTTCGTCGTCGGATCTGCAACACAAGCTTTCATCACGTGCAGGCTAACCAGTATCATCACTACGAGCAGATTATGTATGATCCTTCCTTAGGCTAGTGGTGAGTAAGCAAAACGTACTGACCGATATTCCTTACATAAATTCCAAACTAGGTTATAGCGCTGACCGGCGAGACCGGTAGTGGCACCATATCAGAAACCTCAATGTTTCCGCAGGCTTGCAGTGATTAACGCTCTCTGTCCAGCAGCGCGCCAGACCTCGTCAAGATCCCCATTTCCGTTACCAAGTTACTAGCTCAATACCGAGGAATCACGCACAGTAGCGTGAGCTTTGGCTAGAACCTAGTATGCATAGCTTATTAGCTTATGGGGCGCGAAAACCTCTTATTAGAAGTGGCCATGGGTCTCTGTTGTCGCCCCTGGGGTTATTCCTGTTAGGAATTCGCCCTGAAATTCCTCATCCGGTCGGCAAACCTTCTGTCGTAATTCCGTCCTGGTGGTCGATGTCCAGGTAAAAGTCTACCGGGTCGTAATAGTCCGTCGCTGTACACTTGTTCAAGGGCCTCCAGAACTACCTCGATTGCTAAGAAGCTGCGAGGTTGTTCCGTTTGACATTGGTATCGTATTTTTCATTAGGCCGGCCCGTCTATTAGGCTGCGGATGAATGCGATTCGGTGAGGCTCGGTTGAATATGAAGAGGAGCTACTGTTCAGCTTGTCGCGGAGATTTTCCTTCCAGCTGTCGAAGGCATTGCCATCGCCGGAGAAAACAGGTGCGTCAGTGAACTCAGGGTTTTCATGGAACTCCACTACGGTCGACTCAAATCTAGACGTTGTTCTATTCGAAATCACTCCGGATGCATCCGTACCGCCTTGAAGAGCGCGAGAACCTTCTTGCTCAGGCGGTCGTACCACTGTAGTCCTCCGTTGGGATCTGAGATGGGCGATAATCTTTCGATCCCGTTCATGATCTTCTTGTAGTAGTTCCAGCTCCTCAGATAGGTCCGTCACTCTAGCTTCTGCGAGATCTCGCTCTATCAGTGCCATTTCTTTCTCCTGATAAAGTTTCCGGGCTTACTATACCAGCCGCATGACTTCGTCTTTGGCGGCTTCGTCGCCTGATAATAGCTGGTTCATCTTTGCCATCTTTGTTTCGGTGAAGAGGACCAAGCCAACGAGGGTTGACCGAGATCATCGCAGCACATTGCCCCGGTAAGCTGAGCACCGGCCCCACTCCGTCCGGTCCTCCTCCCTTCTCGGTCGTGCCGGGCTCAACTCCTCGGTTGAATCTTTTCAAGGGAGCGAGACGATAAGTATAGTTTCAGTGCGTTCATGTTTCATTTTAGATGCATGGGACGCAGTATCCTGGTTGGACTGTTACGTCCATGGCAACAACATACTTGAACATTGAAGTAATATCAAGACCAATCCTGACCGTTGACGACACAGTATGGTGCCAGAGCTCCCTCGCCAATTTCCCCAGCTTCACACGGCTTGACGCAACCTTCGTAGCGTGTGCAGATGACTCCAATCTTTGCGAGACAGTAATTGGATAGAGTAGCAGTATCGCCATAGTTTTGATTTACCCCCACTAATAGTGGTTAGCACGGAAGAACTTCTAAGGATAAAAAACGCGCAGCTCTTGCTGGAGACTAATCTTTCTTGTAACTTACTGACTACTCCTTGTATTCCAACAAAATTGGTGATGTTGACATGTCGCTGGAACTGCTGGCTGCAATTGCCGCATGACCGGTAGAACTTCCCAAATTTGTTGGCATAGAAGCCGTCGATGTGTAGCCATCCCTCACCTGCGAGTCAACGATGTTAGGATTTTGTGCTCAGATCAAGTGTCACGGTGTCTCAGCTCTTAGTACTCACCATTATGTTGAAAGACCTTATCACTGGCCTCTTTCGCCCCTCCGCCTCTGACGTATCTCGGTCCAGTACCTTTGAATGTGGCCGCGTCCTCACATACGTCTTCCCACCAAACGTTCTCAATGGTACAGGGACCGCGGCAATGTACGCCCTCAGCTTGAGCAGGGCCAATGATGGCATTCTTCAGCGTCGCCCCGCTATCCAAGATGAATACGGCAGCAGCCTCATCTTGCTCAGCTTGTCCTTTGCAGTCGGCTGAGCTACCTTTGCGATCAAACAGAGCCATCTTGCCATCAAATACTGCATTGGCTGGAATCAAGGAGGCAGTGGGGAAAGAGGTGCTTCCAGTGGCTGTTGGCCATTTCGTGTTGACCGATGGGTGTGGGCAAGATACGCCTCCGGAGGCTTGCCATTTTATGGTGCTTGTTGAGGTTGTTCGGGTCGAGGTGGTTTTGGTCGACTGAGCGGAAACAAGGCTAATGGCCACCACTAGCCCTGAAATAGTGATAGAACGCATGATAGGTGTAATTCTAGAACGAGGACTCAAGCATAGAGGGATACGGAGAGGCGCGAATTTGAATCTGGTTTTATACATGTGAGGTATCTGTTGACTGACTTGGTCGATCTAACAAAAGAGCTATTGCGTGCGACCATGTTGCATTGCTGTGAGTCGAAACTGGTGGCAATATCTGGCGTTATTCGATGAATACTAGTCGTGGTAAATTCATCATGAGTTTGTCCGCCAAGACCTGCGGACGCCCTCAAACTCCAAGAGTCCAACTCTGACATTCTGGTGAATTGAGGACTGCCAAGACTTGATGCAGCACCTAGCTGATCTCCCACCTTCTGACGGCCTTGCTTGTTCCACCAATCCCACCCAAATCAGGAAGCTGAGGGATGCTCCAACGTAACACTGAGACGATGTCATGCATACAATGCGTATGCAGCCAAAAGGCTTATCTAGGTTCACTGGGAAACAGACAAGGTCGTTTCGGTCTCTAGAAGACTGGTTGGGCTCCTTGCTCATCTAAGTATTTCCACAGAGCCTTGCTCTATACGCCATAATTGTAGGCTATCTGTGACATACCTGATTTCATGCTGTTGGTACAATGTTCATCTGAAAGCTGCATCAGACCACGCATTCCAATGCTCAAAATTCAAAAAGTTCCAGACAACATTCGGATCCACCAAGTTCGCATCAAAGTCCCCGGGGATCATGGCGTCTCCAAGCTCGCTGTCCCCAGGATGGAGGCCGATTCCATCTGACATGAATGCAGGAGAAGTCTGGATCATCTGGCTAAGGTCATCATGCATCCTAAGCGCGGGTTCGTCTTCTGTGGCCACGCTCGTCTGACGCTGCTGTACTGAATGTGTTTTCGCGGCGACATTGAGCAGTTCTTTGACAATATCGGCGCATCGTCTGGCTACTGCAAGCATCTTCATTGCCTTGAAGATGTCGAGGCTCAGCTCGATGTTTTCCATAACCTCTTCGGCGGGGAAGGGACAGATGTTTGAAATTAGGACGTGGAGCAGGACCATGCAGGCGTCTAGAAGGTACATGCAGTTGTACCACCTACTCCGAGTTAGCTCTCTTCGGGTGCAAGGCCTTATGGGTGTAAGGACGTTACCATGTCCTGAAGTAAGGTCGGTGAAGGTAGCTTGTGTGCATGAACTTGATGGTCTCGGTGGCAGCTTTGACGCATGAGGTGACATGTCGCGCGACGGTGTTACGGTCCGCTTCTTGCGTCTTTGAGATGATGAACTGTCGGTGAAGGAGTATCCTGGCGTTCAGGAATCCTGTTCGTGTACATCAGTAATGCTAGCGCATCGGCATGACATGCGAGTGAAGCATACGTAGCTTGAGGACCGTCTTTTGCTTCATGGCGAATTCGCTGTCTTCCAGTGATGATGTGTCAAATCGGAGCTGTCTTGGTAAACCAGACTTCCAGTCATCCAACTCCCTGTCCAGGTTGAGCGCAGTCTGTGACAGCCTTTGGAAGGATGTGTGACTACTGTGCAGACCCAGGTTGTCCGTCATCCACATGAGGATCTTGGCCAAGTCAACCATAGGATTGATCAAACAATACGCCGAGTTGGGAAAATGCTTTAGCATCGTCTTAGCAACATGCACTTGATCTTTTCGTTCGGGCTCAGACTCACCGAGGTTTTCGGGAACGGTATTGAGTAAGAGCTCGGAGCACGTAGTCCCGATTGACGCCCAGCAGAAAAGCACATTTCGCTGAATGGTCAGCGTTCCAAATTAACAAAACTGAGTACGGTGCGCAACTTACATCTCGTGTGAGTAAAGAGACCTGAATACATTAGCACTACATACAACTACGAGCGTGTTCGCGATTGCCTACCACCAAAGCAAGCTTTCCGGGCTTGTCTCGGAACGGGTATTAGTTGGGATACCCATGGCCGACGCAGTCCTTATCGCCATGCCGCTATACATGTAGCAGCTATGTGGCTTCAACGCATTTTGACCGAATACCGACTGCAGCTTCCAAGTCAGTCAACTAGCTCTGAATACCTCCGCGTTGAACGTTTTGCCTGGAACTGACCATGAGGAACAGTGTCTGCGCAGTTTCAAGCGAACTCGACTCGCAAATGTCTTCAAGGTGAAGCCTTGACCTTTCGAAGAATCTTCTTGCCAAGCGAATAGGTGGGTAGAGTGCTTCTTCGTCGCTGGTTTGCCCAGTCCGGTCCAAGAACTCTTTGGTGTGGTCTTCCATGAGTAAGGACGTCTCTCCCGCGGTAATAGCGCCGATAGCAATGACAACATTGTACAGTGCCAGAAACCTCGCCTCCCGACGCATTTGTGCAGAGATTATCATATCTGGCCTCGAAAGCCTCGACCATATTTCTTCCTCACATCTCTTGAGAAAGGTCATCTGTTCGAGGATTGGGTGGATGTTGTGCAAGTTTTGGAAGTACAGGCGGACACATTCCCGCTCAAGCTCAGTCGCAAACGCGGCGTCCACCGCGGTAAGAACCACATCGGCAACAACGCCTTGCTGATACGACTCCCTCCTGCCGCCATTGCTCTGCGGACTTGCCTTTGCAAACTGGTTCTGACCGAGAATCCGAGAGTCCGGAGGCGTCGAGTAATCCGAACTGTGCAGGAGATTTACAATGGAGCTTTGCTTACGGTGCGTGCCGGCTTCCGGTTGCTTCTGTGTGTTCGCCCGAGAGCGAAGCCGGGCGAGGAAGTAAAATGTCCCAGTGGGTCCGTAAAACTCGGCACCCTCGGTGTGCTCATTGACCTGACCGAGGCCGTCTACTTCTTGTTCCGAAGATGTTGATGAGCCTCTATCCATGCGGCTTGGCTCTTGTGGGTTCAGCTGGATCGGGTTCTCGTGCTTGATTGGTTCATCTAGGCTAACTGGTGATGGATGAAGATGCTCAGGCAATGATGGCTGTGGCTGAGGTATCAGCTGAGGTTGAGGCTGCAAACGTTGTTGTAGGCGGCCGGTGGGATTGTATGAGGATGACCTTTTACTCGGTCTGTGGGATGAGTTAGCCCCAACCAGAACTCATCGTGTTCCTCTCACATACGGGTCTTCCTGTCCTTCTTTGTACGAGCACGAGAATTCGTGTCCTTGGGGAGGTCATGTCAGTCATCAAAAGTAACTACCTGAGGAAGACAACACACTCACGAACACAATTGGAGCATGGCGAACTTCCATCACACTGAAGGGGATGTGGTCAACATGTCTGTTCGATAAAGGCATCATCAGAGCTTGACCGACCTTGACTTTACGAGCCCGGCATGTACCACAAGCTATCGGCGCACGAGGCCTTCGCTTCCTCTTGAGATTGTTACCAGAGTTCGGGTTGTCCGATGATCTAAAGGCTGCAGTGGGGATCTCCGTCTCCATTTTGATAAGATCGCAAAAGCGCAGAGGTTTTGGAACTTTTGGTAAACGTTGAAAGAGGAAAGCACAAAAAAAGAAACGCGAACCATGAGCGGGGCTTCGGGGCTATGAGGCTACAGCTCACTAGTACGGCGGGCTGAGCGGAACGATCATCTGGGGCATGGCATGCAGGGGGTTCTCCCTTGAGGGGTGTTTGTGAGACAAGGAAGCTTCGGTCAAAGTTTCTGAGCAGTGAGAGGATCACAAAGCGTCATGAACGTCGATGTCGCTCAGACGTTTACCCCAGAAAATTGGACGAATCGGAATGACTCGTTCGGGACCACCGCTTCCAGCGAATAGGAGGCCGTCCGTCGGAAAACGTTGCGCCTCGGGATGAAGCCTCCCAGCATATCCCATCGGCGGTCTTCCGCAATAAAGACGACCGTATTGTCATCTTCCCCAGTTTCTTCAGCAGAGATAGTTCTGTCCTTTATAATAAACAGTTTGGCCGGCGGGAATGATGCTTGAAATCGCCCAGCTATCACGCCCAGAGGGCGCTTGCAAGGTTGACTTCTCATCTTGTAATTTGAAACCAGACAATGTTCAAGTGGGAGATGTTTCAGTGGAGGTACCTGTTCTCATCGCAGGCGGTGGTCCGACTGGTCTGTTCACAGCATACATGTTGTCTAAACATGGTGGTAAGTACTGGCACGTAGGCCTGTGCAATTGTGGGCTCTCCCAGTTCGATGGGGTAGAACGCTAACAGCTTACAGTGAAATCGCTTCTCATTGAGAAGTATCCTGAACGGCTGGCTGCACCTAAAGCGCATGCATTGAGCCCGAGAACCCTTGAAATATGTAGACAATATGGACTTGACACAAGAGCGATACGTCAATTAGGGTCACCTCGTGATGATGCCTACTGGGTCAATTTCTTGACGAATCTCACGGGCGAGAAGATTGGTGTCCTTCCGTATGAGCGGATGGACGCTGGTGTCCTAGAGAGTACACCTGAGGTATGGAAGTAATTGTATTTTCGTCACCCAACGACTTCAAAGTCAATTACTAACATGTGTATTACTGAAGATGATCCACAATATCCCGCAACCCGATTTTGAGAAATTTGTTGCAAAACGTCTAGAAAACGACCCAAATGTTGAGATTCGAAAAGGGGTTGGTTTCATTTCGTGTGAGCAGGCAAGTAGAGAAAGCTTCGGGAACTTTTAGAAACTCCAAAGGCGAGATACTGACAACTGCCGTACAGCGAGGCGATAAAGTGACGACCGTCGTTGAAGAGCGTTCCACGAAGCGTCGTTGGACAGTTACCTCTGGGCACGTTGTTGGCTGCGATGGAGCAAAAAGCCAAGTCCGACGTTTTTTAGGGATTGAGACTGAGGGGGAAGATGGATGTAAGTTTTCTTGTTGTTCGCGACATGCAATTCAGCTTACAAAGAGGATGTAGACGAGACAATGATGACCATTCACTTTAATGCGAATCTCCGGCCAATCGTAAAGAATGGTGTTGGCATGCTGCATTGGATCGCCGACCCTGCTTGCTCTGGTTTTATCATTGCATATGATATAGATGGAAACCAGGTTTTGATCAGCAATTTTGATGTAAGTTGAAGAAATTTTTCCTTCCGAAGGCTAGACTCTTCGTTTACTGACGTTGGCTGGACTAGTCAAAAAGACATCCGGTGGAAACATGGACAGAAGGACTCGCGCATGCCACCGTGTCCGCTGCGATAGGACAAAAGATACCGATCCAGATCAAGAGTTTTAGACCATGGGTATTAAGCCGCAAGGTGGCAAAGGAATACCGTCGTGGAAACGTGTTCTTGTGCGTATCATCTCTGAATTTTCCTGCACGATGACAATGCGCTGACCCTTACCGTTACAGGGTTGGCGATGCCGCACATTCATTCCCTCCTACTGGTGGCCTGGGACTCAACTCTGGCCTGGCAGACGCGCACAACCTTGCCTACAAGGTCGCCGCCGTACACCAGGGTTGGGCGAATCCACGAATTCTCGACACTTATGAGACTGATAGACGACCAATTGCCGTCATCGCGGCAGCTCAGAGTGTCAAAAATGGGAAGTCTATCTTTTCTTTCCTCAAGGCCATCGGGACGGCAGATGTTGAAGACCTCGACGAGGCCCGGAAACGGATGTATGATGCCATCCACGACCCGGCCAAGCAGAACTTGATCGCCGAGAAAGTCGAGGGACAACGTGAACATTTTGACAACGTAAGTGCATCTTCACCAGATTGGATTTTAAAAATAGGCGTTGACATGATCCCCTTCAGCTTGAAATTCACATTGGGTACGTGTACGGTGACACGAAGCCACCTGCGAATGCGTCGGACTTTACGCCAAAGTTCCAGGTTGGCGCCAGGTTGCCACATGCTTGGATCAAATTCACCGAGCCGAATGATGAAAATGAAATTTCGCATCAGCCCATCGACACGTCGTATGTGAAAGAGCTATCGAATGAGCAAATCGAAGCTCAACGCTATTCTACACTTGACCTGGCGAGTGCAGGTATATTCTCTCTCATTGTACCATGTCGAGGAGCTTGGAAACAACGGTTTGAGGACTGCGAAGAGGCCCTTGGGAACAAAATGAGTTCTCGCCTTATCCTTTGGGGTGCGGACGTCGATTTTCAGTTCACTTCTGACAGTCACCAAAAACTGTACGATACGAAAGGTGGTTTTTCTGAGGGAGGTGCAATTCTGGTCAGACCAGATCAGCATATTCTAGGTTGCATCAGCCCAGATGCTTCCGCGACCGACATCGTCGCCCTCATTGCTGAACATGTCGATATACAGCATTAGAAGTACATACAACTTAGGATGAAGAGTTTAGGTACATTCACTGAACGAACTACAACTGAATGACATCAAGACTGTTGCAAGAGGGGTTAGAGACAATTATTTCCAATACATGATTACGTGGATGAGAGTCTGGGGCAAGTGGTGATACGATACTTCAATGGAAGTAAATATTTAAATAACAACGTGGAGGCTTTAAATGTGGCAATTCCTACCTGGCAGTCCTTGGTACCCAACAAGATTGAGTTCTGCCATGGCCAAGCCAGCCACCGTATCTACTACCTGCAGCTCTCGCGACAATCCAACAGCTACTTTTACATATTGAATCAAGACAACCCAAGTCAAATCCGATTTGCAGTTGACCATCGGACAGCCGGTGCTGTCAGGTAACTTTCGACTTCTACGACAGGCATATTGCCAAGGCGTCGATGAGCTTGCCTGTGAGTCGAAAGAGCGTCGATTATTTGACCGCTGAGAAAGAAATCGCTTTGCTGCCTTGGAAGCAGGAGAAAGAGAGAAAGAAAAGCGTCTGCCCGAGCTGTGAATTTTCGTTTGTTAGTGTAAGTCTTATCCATAAAACTAGGTATGACCCTCTAGGTGAAACGAACTTTGGTGCCATTGTTCTTAGTAGTAGGTTCTTCGATTCGACTAAGTCGTTTGATGATATTGTAATTGAGGGGTTGTTCCCGTCTGATATCAGAGGAATTTAATTCGGTGATGTACGAGGTTTTCAACAGAAATCTAGAGGGTTCATATGCTCCTCGAAGACTGAGGATTCTGAGTCCGTGAAGGCCGCCACTGCTCGTGTGATGGAACAGACGAAAGCACAACGTTATCCACGTCATCTCAGGTTCCCGGAAGCAATGATCGTGAACATCATTTCCCCTGCTAAATGTTTTGCCTGGTCCTGTATTGTCCTTGGCCGAGGAACAAGTCACCCAACGTCGTCACGCCTCATCACTTTCGCAACCAAAGATGACCACCTCAGGCCATGACTTGTCATGAGAGTCGCTCAAAGTAGCTTGCGCCACTTTGGATGACGCGGGTTGAGCGCTTGTCGGGCGGTAGTGGTGGGAAGTTTCTAAAACTCATGTTCACACGGTACGGCACAGTCCAATCATACACTTCGCGATCGGCCTGATCGTCAAACCCCAGACTTTTCAGGACCCTTTTGGCATCATTCTGCCGATCACTACACACCCAACTTCTCAGTGAGATGGCATTCCCGCTATTCTCATATTCAAAAAAGGTTCATGGTGGATGGTGAGAAAACTTCGTCAAGCGGGCAACAAGGCTAAATTCTACGAGACCCTTGAAAGTGCTACGTGATGATTCTCACCTTGTTTCATTGCTGCTTCTCTTACGGCAAATCACCAAAGTCTTGAATCTTCCGTAGGGATTTATTGAAATTACCGTGTTAGTACGCAGAACTCAATAAGGGAAAGCAGCAGTAACCTCTGTTGAATGAGGTGCTTCATGTTCCCTTTTAGGGTCGCCTAGACTCGGAAAGGCGGAGTCCGAAGGATGTTCCGACGAGAGCACTTTAAGACAATCACAGACTTAACGACGTCTGAAAACCTGATGCCTTATTTGATTCGTTTATTCGTAGGATGCATGTACGACCAAGAACGATACAATTGCACCGCCGGCCTTCCTAGACCCGCATCGGACCGCCTCCGGTATTCTTCGGCACCGGTGAACCCCACATGTTCTCCGCACATCAAATTAGTCATCCCTGAAAACTTTGCAGGCGCTCCCAGTCCCTGCCTCGTTTCTTAGACCAGCCACGGCTAACACACTACAACACAGTCAGTACCTTGCAGCACGGCACTTTTGCACAAAAATAGCTTCAAAACTGGCGCCATGGATCCAAAGGCATCTTCCTCGGCTCCTGCCGCACCTGCGCTGCCGCCCAACGTCACAATCTTCTCCCCATCCAAACCCAGCACAGCAAAAGCCCTCCTCAACGGCAGCATCTTTACACGGCTCACAGCCAATGCCCAGACCGAACCATCAAAGCTAGAGGCTGCTCTCAGAGACGTCACTCGACCCGAGGTCAACGACACCTTCTGCTTCAGCCACCGCAATGTGGTCTTGATTTTTGACGGCGAGAAGGACGGAGACGATGCTATGGATCAGCACCACGAGCACTTCCGACTCGTCTGCTTGGCGCTCAAGAAGGCTGACATCAGCCTCGATGTTGCCGGTTGCATTTTTGATGCCCCGGAGGTCTTGCAGGCTGGCTTCCAGTTAGACACGCTTAGCTCGGGTTCTGTTCTGGTCATCGACTTGATGGGCGGGGATGACGATGATGATGATTCGGACGAGGATGATGAGGCAGCCGCTGAAAGGTTGCTTATGAGTGGCGATTCAGGCGCAACGATATCCTGAGCTGAAAGTCACTGAATTGCGGAAGACGAGCTTCATGATTCGGGAGCTGCCAGGATGACACTGAGAAGAGCATTGGGTCTAGCCGCTAGCGGAATCACGAAAGCAGGAACACGCGAAGTTCAAAAGGAAAGTGTTATTATTAAGCTTGGCTTCCGGGAGCAACGCCAAAAGTACGGCCCTTGTGCCGATAGCACCAAGAGGCACCAGAAGCAGGCATCATCAAATCAAGCATCCCGGGCACACAGCGAAACTGGCAAGCCCCAACGAAAATGGGAGGTCTTGGGAGGAGCTGGGAACGGCATAGACAGCCTTTCTGATGCAGCCTTGAGCGTTAGACCCATAGAGATGAATGGGCCCAAGTTGGAGTCTTTTCAGCGCGTCTATGAGCGGATGGACTTTGCTAGGTAACTTAAACCGAGACTATGTCGAATTCCAGCCCCAGTAATTACCTTTTGGCCAGAGCTTTGGGCGTGCTCTTGATATTGAGCCAGTCTCTCCATCTTAGACAGACTATTTAGAGCTACAAAGACAGATCTGCACTCAACTCAGATGGCACATACTTGGTACTCTATCTAGGTGCAGCATTTCATCTTAGAGGGCTGAGTCTAATGCATCATGGAAGCTAATGAACAACTCTCTTGCAGGTGACTATTAGTGAACGGATGCAACGGACATTTTTTTATCGCATCAAGAGTACGACAGATGCTATACGGGGTTCTGGTCGGACTAGATGCATCGTGCCTGGCGCGTTGAATCAAGGTTCCTTGTCTAGGCTGATGCGGGTTTTCAAGCCATCAACCAGATACAGAGCGAGCACCAGAAACATAAAGAAGGGGGCCGACACAACCGGGAGGCTTGCAGCCTCGAACAAGCCTACCCAAGCATCTACGGATACTTCTTGTTCGGAGAAGCGGAAAAGATTTATAATCGAGGAGACAAATTCGTGATGAGTTCGCGTTCGGGCCAAGGACGCCAAGCTCGGCGAACGGCTTTCAAGACATTCTTCACGGATATACTGGGGAAAGGAAGAAACTTCAATCTTGGCAAAGCGCCACCCTCGTCCCAAGTCTCTGGGCGACATCTTCTTTTGACGTGCATGGGGAATACTGAGGCTACCCCAGGCGCCCAGGCCAGCCTTCAGCGTTGCGACGAGGATCTCGACCAAGTCCTCGGTCGGGAACCACGTTTTGTGGTGTCAGAGGAAATGGCACTGAAACGTCATCCTCAGGAATGCAGACCAGATTTGCGACCACGTGAGCTGGTAATTGCTTGGTTTCCTACTCTTCCACCCTGGTGTCTTGCCTGGGTGTCGAAGTCTTAACAGCATCTGGGCAGCAAACCTCGGAAAAGGCAGGAGATTTCGAACATTTCGAAACGGGCTCGCTCACGTCACTATTGTTTAAACTCCGCAAGACTCCGCGCCCCGTCGTTGGTCGAACGCAACCCTTGCCGGCCACATATCCCGGAATAGGAGTAGAGCGCCGACAATCTTGACCGCAATAAGACAGGTCGTGCTCAGTCGGTGAGGACTCCATTGGACGATTTCATTCGGACCTTTCCCCACGCTGCCCACTTTGTATCTCTCCTCCTCCCCCAATCCCCGTCCCACCACGCGCGGAGAAAGATGCTTGACACGTTTGAGTCTTTTCCAACGCCAGCCAGACGTAAGGCGATGGATCTCAACCGGCACTTGTCGCGAATTGGTGGCTAGCTAGCGGGACCATCCGGTGGAAACCTCGGTCTTACCTTGAATCAGAGACATTTGACCCCCAAACTCGCGCGACTTTTGGTCTTCTCCCACTTTCAACTAAAGCCAAGAGCCAAGAGAAGAAAAGTGTGGGATTCCCCCTTGGGGTGAAGCTGGGGACTGGAGTACAGGCAAGAAAAAGTTGGGGGAGCGCTATTATCCCAAAGATTCCACTTCGGGGCCCTCCAGAACTCCAGCTGACCGTCAAATTCCGAGCCATTGGGGGCAATGGGGCAATTGGAAGCTGGTTCGACGGGTTCGTTGCCCCCGGGATGCAAGGTGACGTTCCCCGCGGATGGAGGCGAGAACGAGCTCCGTGTAACGCGCGCGCTCCCTCTATTCGGGGTTTTCGAGTTGTCAACCTCAACCACTCCAAGAGTCCAAGTCACTCACTTCGCCGTTAACCCCGACCTGAACTTCCCCACGGATGGTCTTATCCCTCCCCACGTCATCCTGGTGCGGCCGAAGAAGCTCCATGTCCAATGCAGCAGCTATCGCGTTCATTCCAAGCGGCCGCATGCCGCGACGCTGGGCCGAGAATCTGGACTGCAACCAGACCGAAATGGGGGACCAGGGACTCGTACCAGATCCCGGCCCATTTTCCGAAATTCTTACCTCTTACGCGCGTGTACTTTTGCTGTGATGGGTGAAGCAGGTTTCACCCCACATTAAAATGTTGTTGAGGGGCAGTGGTTAAGTGTTTCCCCGCGACGATCGGGACTTGCCCGAAGCCTGCCACCGCTTTATAACTAATAGCTTTCCCATCGTCCTCCTTCCCGAGTCAATCTCGAGTCAATCCAGACGACCTCTTGATTCCTTCTTCTGTCTCCCATCCTCTTTCCTCAACACACTCTCCCCTAGTTGTGTAGAGATCCGACAGGACAGTCGCAAAGATGGACTCGACTCAGAACGACAAGATCACCCAAGGCGCCGACTTCAAGGGCGCCGATGTCGATAATGTAGAGAACAACTACACCGACCCCAACGCGCCCCGGGCTATGAGCCCTGAGCGTCGCGCGGCAGTCGAGAAGAGCATGAAGCGCAAGCTTGACATGCGATGCTCTCTGTTTGTGCTCATCTACATCATGAGTATGTTTCACTCACCGAGACCTCATCTCACTTGATCGCGGACTTGTAAACTAACGTGGCATACCCTCAGACTACCTCGACAGAAACAACATCGCCGCTGCCCGTCTCCGCGGTCTGCAAGATGACCTGCAGCTGGACAACAACGAATACGCCACCTGCCTGAGTATTCTGTACGTCGGCTACATTCTCATGCAGATCCCCTCCAACATGGTCATCAACAAGATCTCCCGCCCGTCCTGGTACATCGCCGCCGCCATGTTGATTTGGGGCATGATCTCAACCCTCTCCGGCGTCACCACAAACTTTGGAGGCA